TAGATCAATTAGCAGTTGAAAGTAATATATTCTAATTAATTATAATTAATACATATCTCTTATTAACATCAATTAGAAGCTTATTCAGACAGTGAAAACTCTTGTTTATATATACATATTCAAGTCTACTCAATTCATGATATCTGTATTATTACTATTCTTTGATACAGATGTATAAGTGACTGAGATATAATATCTTCTACTGCTGTTCTGTGTACTCTTAAGCTTGATAAGACAGTTATTCAATATTCAGAGTTGTATACATAAGTCTTCATAAGTCAGGTCTTTATCTACACTTATAAGAGCTTATAAAAGTTCAAAAGTTAGTGTCTTCTTAAGAATGCTAATTTTTATTCAATTCTCTCAAGATTGACTGTCTGCTTCTAGAATCTTGATATTGAAGTTAGAGATAAATGTTATGAGAGAAGTATTTCTCTGTTAGATACTCTGTAATCAATCTAATATCTTCTACTGTATAGCAGTCTTTCTGAACAGAACATTGAGATATCTAATAAGATTGTCAGATATATGTAACACTGATTCACATGTCTTTATTTATAAATATAACTTCTGTTTCATGTGATCTTTCAATCAATCATTGATATATCAATCTTGATTAGTTAACAAGCTGATGATATCTTCATCTATACTTTGTTTCATGAGTATGTCTAATCTTTATAACAGGTAGAGAGTGAGATCAGAAGTATTAAAATATGTAGAAGTATCTAAATATTCTTTCAGTACTTGTATTATATTCATATCTGATTCAGTCAGTGTTGAAATTATCTGTGCAGAGGTTTCTTATTGAGTTAATTATTAAATTTCCTCATATTAATGTTGTTGATTTGCATGTATATTAGCTATCTATTATTATTGTAATTTCAACATTACTCAGAGTCACTGCAGCACTGTGTCTATACTTATATTCAAGAGTTCTTTCATATTATTAGTAGATATAGCTATATTATTCATCAGATATATAATATCTACAGAATCAGAAGAAGTGTATTCATATAAATATCTCATACATTTAAAATGTCAGAACTCTCAGATTTTTCACTGACAGTCTCTTTATAAGATCTTGTTACAGAGTCAGAGCAACTGATAAGTAAGCTTCTATTTATTTAACAGAAACTCAGTGTCTACTTAGCTAGTCTATAATCATTTATTTTCTTATTTCTTACACATTGTTATGTGTTCAAATATCTTCTTCATAAGTAATTATTTCTAATGAGAAGATAATAAATATTTTTCAAGTATAAGAGATCTACACTAAATAGATCAGTACTAATATATAGATCTTATATAATAACAGTAGAAAATATTAGAGAAGAAAAAAAGAGAAAGTATAAGAATCAGCAATTAAAGTGAATATTTATACATGTATGAGATGAAGCTTTGAAGTGAGAGAATAGAAACTTCATGAATTTCTCAGCTAAGAATCAGTGACTGAAAATTAAAGCTTTCAGTAGAAGAATCAGAGCTTTCAGCAGAAATCTATGAAGTGTAATGAAATAGTCTTATATAATTGAGCACAGCCTGCTACACTATCTTTATAATAGATATAAAAGTGTGGAGAACTGCAGCAGTGACAGAGTAATTAGAAAGCTTATATTAAAATATACAGCAGATTCAGAAATCTCAGATTTCTGTTAGAGTAGAGATATATATACTCTAGAAAATAATATGAAGTTTTCTTCAGAGAGTAAGATTAGGTCAGTCTTAGTATAAATATATATGTATTATATCAGTCTATTAATTAAGCTTAACTAATTCAAACTTAAAATCAGATTAAGTAATTTGAATTGTAATATAATAGAACTGAAGCAGTGATTAATAGACTGACCGTGTAACCGTGTCTGAAATCAGAATCAGAATATTTGATGATTTCATTATCAATTTCACTGATCTCATTACACTGTTTTAACATTAGATAGTAGTCTCATACTGTTTCAGTGAGACTTACTGTCTACTCTTATCACATTTTTCAAATAAGATCATGATTTCTACTTCTCAATTTAAATTATTTTTATTACTTTAAATGACTTTAAATCTCATTTGAGTATTACTAAAAAGTGTTACTTTTTAAAAAATTAAAAATAGTCTAAAAAAAACCTTAAAATGTCTAAAAATAGTAACTTTATACTAAGAATAAAACTAAATGAAATTAAATGAGATCACTTTCTTATTTTTTTCAAGTCATGATTTCATCTTAAAATCTGATATATAGTCACTTTGCATGTTTTTTTAATGATTAGTCTCAGCAGGATTCATGCTAAGAAATGTATAAGATCAGACTAAATGAGACTAAATATAAAATTCATAATCTCAGTGATCAGTCTAGTGACTAATCAGTCATATTATATAGATAGTTATCTAGAGAAGCTGTATAAGTAAACTTAACTATCTTGCTTAAATAGTGAGCTTCTGAGCTACAGAGTTATTATAAGAATATTATAGATATAGTACTTAGTATACTAAGAAGATTATATAAGAATTGTAGTAACTTTTATATATATTATCAGTAGAAGAAAATAAATCACTGACTTCTTTGATGAAAAGTCAGTGTTTAGCTATTCTATATAGATAATAAGTGAATATTTCTCTTCTATTCTATAAGTAAGAATAGCTGAAGTGATATCTCAGTAGTATTTTACTGTTATAAAAGAAGTAATCTGCTGATCTTGTATAGAAGTAATATTCTTATATTTATCAATCAGATTCTTCTATATTACATCTGAGTAATATTATAGAGTGATTGAAAACTGATTTAAACAGTCTGTAGAATAAATGAAATTAGTTATAGAAAAGTAATAAACTATATAAAGCTGTAACAGAGTCTTAGTATAATTAGAGATATAATAGAGATTTACTATCTACTCTTATTATATTTTTAAAATGAGATTATAATTTTCACTTCTCAATTTTAAATTCATTTTATTGCTTTAAATAACTTAAATTTCATTTAAGTATTATCAAAAATTATTACTTTTTAAAAAATTAAAAATAATTTAAAAAAACTTTACAATCTTTAAAAATAGTAACTTTATATCAAGAATGAAATTAAATAAAATAAAATAAAATTACTTTCTTAATTTTTTTAAGTTAGTCTTATTTTAATATCTGATTAATAGTTACTTTGCATGTTTTTTTAATAATTAGTCTTAGTAGAATTCATCTTAAGAAATGTATGAAATCAGATTAAATAAAACTAAATATTAAATTCATAGTCTTATTAACCAGTCTACTCTTAACTATATATAATTTATATAAATAGAAGTTTGTAATTATTATTTAATCTTTATATTTATCTTTTTACTGTAAATACTTCTAGTAGCTATAGCCTATCAGTATATATTATGTCAAGCTGTGAATCTCTGAATAATTACCTGTGAGCACTTATTCTTACACTTCACTTCACAAATAAGTTTAGTATTTAATATATTTAATTGGTTTTTCTAATATATATATGAGTTATATACTTCATAGAAGACTATAAATTGTCAGGTCACGTGATCTGGCTTACTAAACCTTCCATCATATAACTTTCCACAAGCTAGCAACCTTTCAATCACACAAGCTTTACACCTTTCACATAAATTACAACATTATAATATTGAATATCATGCTTTGGCTGGGAGAGTTACTGATATTTATTTCGTCTCAATACACATGACATTCATTCGTGATCTGCTATCTCTTTTCTCAGATTGTCAGAGACAATATCAGGAGAAACACTCATTTTCTCGCCTTGTGTTTCCTCTACCATTACCATATCATATCTGCAAGAATTTCTCTCAAGGTTTTGAAGGCTGCGAATATATTTGTCTGATACTGTTGTTGAATTTACTGGTTATGTCTATTGTCTATTATCAGAATTAAACCGCCAATGTGACTAACTTCGCAAGAATGGAATGGAGTGCCACGTACGGATTACAGACTACTGGCACGTTGGTTAAGATACTATGAAATGGTTTATCAACGATTCAAAAGGTGCAAAAGATTTCTCGACAGAGCAATGGTTTAAATGGGTGGTTTGAGAAACCATTTCTCTACCAATAAGTGTCCCCTGATTCCGCGTTTCTCGGGATTAAAGGAACTAACGAACCAATACCGGTTCGGCCATTCTTGCTCTGCATATCAGGTCAAATTTAGAGCCCGGAGTCAAGGAATATTCGAGTGAGAAACGTTGAAATTTAACGAGAGGAAATAAATACAAATCTGCAAGGCATGAGAAACACCCAATCCATCCTTTCAGGGTTAACCTTGGAAGCATAGCGTCCATGGATAAATAACGCCTGGTGAGGAAATGCAGCAACGGCTATTATCCAGAAAAAATGTCCTCCTACATATCACGTCGGGATTGCCTGGCATACACTACTGATGTGCTGGCTCGATTCCCCCGTGGACTAGTCACACAAACATTGCGAGAAACGAATGCATTTTCAGCTCAACAATCAGACCTGCGCCGTGTTGTAGTTTCTCGGGGACAAGGTGAAGGCGAAGACAATGCTCCTGTCTCAATGCGTGGATCCAGGCGTGTCAAAAGGTGGCTTCCAAATATAGTGCTAAAATTTTGCTCAACCCGACCAGGGTGCAGAGTAATTCTTGTGCAACTCAGGGGCTCGGATCATTTTGGTCCGGATTTGATGCAGATTCTTTCTTTCAAATAAGTTAGAAGAAATATATTACCGCCCCAGCATTAACATTATCATCCAAACTGGAGGGTCCAGAAAATGCAACGGGAGGCTATATTGACTCTGTCAAACACCGTAGTTCATGCAGCCGCAAGCTGGTAAATCCATTTTTCCCTTCCTAAATGCCATATAGCCAGTAGAAAAAAAAGCACCATTCGCCCATTTGCTCTCAGCTGGGCAGCATGGAAACAAAGGATTCAAGCAGAGGGTAAACTAGGCGGGTGGCTGCTAGCTAACACTGCCGAAAGTTAGAGTTTGCTGCCATGCGGACATAAATACTGGTTACCAAGAAAGAACACATACCTCGGACACAACCTCCTCAAGGCAAACCGCTAGACAGTGGCACATCTGCCCGAGCATAGCAGAGCTAGTTCTTTTATTGTCCAGTTATTATCTCAACTGTGAATGCTCTGCAAGCCCGTCCGACTATGCAATTGTTGGTTCCCTTCGGCGACCCCCGCGGTTCATGCGCCTCATCGCGCAAACCAACCCGCGAACTGACCAGTCAACAGAACGTCCAACAACTACTACCTTCAAGCAAACCTTCAAAACCGTTCCTATAATAAAGCCTTGACACGATGGGCATGTTTCACGTCCTCATATTATTCACCGCGTGCACTGGTATTCCAGGCCTTTCCCATAGAATCGCTATGGCCTTTCTTGAAGTTGGTGGTGGTTGAAGCGTGTTCTCGACATCCCGTCATCCATACTTCGCCGAGCTTGTCTGCATCAGTGGTAGAGGGAATTGGCTGATTCTCTGCCCTATGTCGCCTTGCAAAATGACAGATCTTTGGCAGATGCAGAGATAGCGCGCGAATCAGCTTGGAAGTCAAATGTGTTCCTCCAAACCCGGACCCTAGTTAAATTTCGACGCGTAAAAAAGCTTGTACCTGTCTCCACTCCTTTGTCCTCCAATTTTGGAGCGCATTTTCCTCAGGCTATACCAGAATACCGTCATAAATACACCATCAGGGCGATGGTTCGGAAAAATAAAAAGCAAAGCTTTCCTCGCAAGGTTCCGCGATAATGGTAGTCTTAAGCGACGAAATAGGGGACAAAGGAGTGACCGGAACTGAGCGGACAAAAATGAACAGAACCAGATATAATGAACATTTGGAATAAGATTTCCTGCTGCCTGGGCTGCACTACAATATATATATTTATATATACCATCCTGCAAATCACTGGTGCGCCTCCTGGCGTGTCCTACTACTCTCGAATCGCCACTTAGGGTGAGATTTTCCTTGATTCAGTTTGTTGGTACGCGAGCTTACACATCGGAGAGGCTACCAACAGAGTATGCCGTCATGATTGCCAGGGCCCTTGATCTTGCATGCATCATATGTGCGGCCATGCTTGACGGGTACCAATATCGCTAATGCACAACACATGCGGGACGAGGCAGAATCGTTTCCCCAGTTGCCGCTCCGCAGCCGTATGTGAGGAGGAACCGTTGGCAGGAGACGCTCTTGCGCCTCAATTGTAGGCAGTAGACGGACCGCCCTGGACTTTTCTCGGGTGTGTATGGAGCAGCAAACTTAGCATCCACTTGTCAGTCACACTAACTACTGGACCATCGCGGACAACTGCCTGATGCAGTGGTTAAAATATATTTATAGCCCCACCCGCCATATGCCACATTCTGGGCGCGATTACAATTACCAGATCAGCTCTGCTCCCATGATCCCCTATGGGAGCTATTTAAATGTCCTAAAAGAAACCAACTTTAAAAGCGAAATATGGCGGAGAAATGGCACTAATGGACTAAAATTCCAGATGGAAAATAGGGGACCCTAAGGGGAAGCGGCTTCCAGGGATTGGTCCGCGATTGCCCAGTCGCTGATACCAAAGACAACCGCGTCTCTAGTGAGAGGGGCTCTGCTTGCCCTTCTTGAGCTCCGCATTCAACGTCTTGCATGAGTTTAACGGCTTTGTGAACCCAAAGCTGAAATACTGCAAGGATCCCTTAGATGTCTGTATTGCCTTTATAGTCGCTGCAGTCAAACAACTGCAGTGAGCGTTTCTGCCTCTGCTTGCATTTTCCCGTAAGGCTTAAAAGCGTGCCTATCCCCTCCCCAAGCGTTGTTGTTCATTTCTCCACCGTTCACAGTCACCCAGCGTCGACGATGACGAATAATACTTCTATTCCAGATCCAGAAACAATACGAGTGGCTCTGGAAGAAGCCAGAAATAGTGAAGACGGCCGAATCGATCCCAGAATGACGTCCATTCTCGAACTAGCTATTGGCGAAGTCTGGCGCAAAGTGCAAGCGGAGCCGGACACTTATATCTTGACCCGCGACGAATTCGCACTTTTCAACTACTTCCTCGATCGATTCCGGGGCCCAGTTGCTCAGCGCGCTGTGGAGCGGTATTGGAACAGTTGCAACGACCACCGTTCTGAGAATGACTGTCGACGTTAATATGATGCGTCACACGAAATGTTTTTCCCACTTCATTATAACATCCGCAAACAACCATCTGAATCCTGAGACACTACGCCTCCAACTCTTCTACCTACCTCGAAATTTCCGCTTACGGCCCCGCAATCACGTAGTTCAAAGCCACCCGTTTCTATCCAACGTTCGTCATACTCCCTGCGTCCGCGACTTGTTTCATGATTCTGCGGTCCCTTAGAATTTTTTTAACCGTTAAATCCGGCTAGATTTTGCTTCTTACAACATTTTTCTGTTCAGCGGCCTATTATATGCCTTTCTGAACCATTGGCTCTATGCTTGTAATTTTTATATTACGTTCTTGTTTGCGCATCTACATTCATTGCGATAGTTTTTATTTTTTTTATTTGTATTTCTGTTGACTCCAAATCGGTTCTACTGCTTCTTTCTCAGAGATTCTTCACATTTCTTTTGATAGTCATATATCATCCCTTTATTCGCATTGCAGGTATAATCTGCAAAGAAACCCACAGGAGATCATCACCTCCTTTTCCGCACATACGCCATAAAGCTAGGGTGCCACCCATAGCTATCAGCCCGAGTGGTATAGGAGTCGACAGGTTATTTCATTTATGAATGATTTTGATTCACCGGCTACCTCCCACATGCAAGCGTACTTAAGTACCAGGCTTGAAGGTCGCGTTTTTACTACGTCACGCTTTCGAGTATTACAAATATCCCATGCTAAAGTACCTAAAGTTTTAGCTAGCTCAGTCAGCGTTGACCGGACCGATCAGTACTTTCAGTCAGTCGGGGTTTGTCCCCTTCATCAACGCTGAATCATAGCGTGCCCGTGAGCCTCGCTCGATTCGAATACTAAGCGGCTTCCACAATCATTGCCAAATCCATTGCACGAAAGAACTATCAGCTTTGGAACTATTTCGATCCAGTGCGCGAACCTGTCGAGAATACCGATTTGACTTTCTTCTACATCGTGCGAATGCATCTTTCTCTTGGTTCTGTTTGCATGCCGTGAGGTGACGGAAAATTCCTGTATCAAGGCATGCTGTGCATACAGCAGAGATACCATGCTACCAGGCCTTTTATCGATTATCGAAATGTCGTCATGAAAATGCAGATTGTCTCAACCTACAACGGACACGCTTTGGATTGTTGTTTAATTTATTACTTACTGGTTTTGCTGTTTTTCAGGGCTCCCAATTTCCTTTTAATTTATTGATTTCGGTTGCTTCTTGTCGCATTTCCAGTGAAATTTATGAGACTACGAATTTACGTCGGTTTTACTCATGCTGTTCTATTTTAAAAGCTCCGGTCACTAATGTTGGCTCCCATGAATTATGAAATTCCAGTTAGAGATCCACACCTCACCTTCCTTTGATACTTTTGGCTATACTCTATCATTGTATCTTGTTGCGTTTTACGGGTAATATGTCATGTGGATCCGTACAGAGTATACTATTGTTAAACATCCAGTGAATTTACCCCATAGTTCATTTGGAGCCCTCCTGCGCAACTCATTTTCCACATAGCCCAGAGGGTAGTTATGCAGTTGCTTTTATCCGCTTGTCGATCGTTGGCTGCCTCGTTAGTGGGAATTCCCTCCATGTCCGACGGGACACCTCATGCCCGGACGGCATATGAGCCGCAAATGAGCTCTGTACAAAGTACCCTGGGTAGTCAGCGGTTCAAGCTTGAGATGGACTAAAATATGGCCCCGTACTTTTCGCTTCTGTCACGTTCCTCTCCGGTGTTTGACTTACGAACACCGGGAACCTACATTTTTGGAGAGTCTGAAAGACTTCCGGTTACGTTGCATGAAAATAACGGTTGCTGGCTTGAAATAGACGCATCAACGCATGGCGGGCTACAATCCTCTTTGAGACGTTTTGCCCGTATCTGCAGAAGGACAAGCAAGAATAAGATGGAAAAGGAGATACTCGGGGTCCGAAATATAGCAGTTTGATCCTTTGAACCTAGATTTCCACCAGATTTCCACAAATGTTCCGAACTATTTCTCGCCTACACGCCGCTACCTTCGATTCCTTGCATCTGCCGCTTAACCCTTGGTCGTCCACCAGTTTTAGCGTTTGATCCTTTGGAGCTGATAGACGGCCTGTACTCCGAACAGAAACCTTGGACATTTCCCCAGTCCACGCTCCATGACTCGCATCATATTCCTGAAACGGCTGGATGCATGTACCCGAACAGGCTTCAAGCCTTTCTGGCAATGGCAACCAGCCACCCGCTTCTTAGCTAGTTGCATGCTGCCAGAATTTCTTCCTCCGGCTTTCCGTCGCGCCATTTGCTAAACCGCCGCCACGTGCAGCATGATGGCCTAAGCAACAATCCAACATGATTACCTCAGGAAGTGGCCTCGTTTGTCGCTTTTTCCAACGTATGGCATGGACAGTTTAGCCAACATCAGCTCGTATCTTTTCTGACAGTCCCAAGCCTACTTTTTTTTGAGAGGTGATGTATCACTTTCTTTTCTCTGATTCCGTCTTGGATAAATTTGCTATGGCCTTCTAAACGACGTTAACTTACCCTTACAGCAGAAAGTTACGTTCAGTCAGGGCTTACTTCTAATTATCATCACTTACCGATATCGGGCTTACTTTTCTCGTTCATGTGCATCGTCAAGTACTGGCATATTCAACTCTCCAGATGTACAGTAACTAATATCCGCAGCCCACATAGATAGAGTGCATGGGGATTTTTGGTTTGGCGCAACTCCCGCTCCACGGAGAACAACCCCCCGCCTTTTGCTCTCGTTAGGCCCGACGGACCAAAGGCCCTGATGGCAGGGAAAAGGCATGGCGGGGGCCACTACTTGATCACTTCCCCACAATGTGGGGAAGCTTTAATTGTTGTCATCATTTAATAATACTAACTTACGCATCATTGGTAGTAAGTTACTATCTACACTAGCGCAATGCTGTTACTTTGGTCAAGAACAGTTACAAGAAAATTTCCATCATCCAACATCAGCAAGTATTGAAGCATATACTATGGCTTCTCAAATATTCCAACTCCTGGGGCCATTATTCTGCGCAACCAGCATGCCCAGGCATCAAACTGTGAGCATGACTGTTAGCTACTCGTTTCCGAGGTTTCCTTGTGCCTTCCACGGAATCAGTTGAGCAAGATCAAGATTGCCGCCATCATCTCAGCGCCTTACGGGGACTAACTCCAGGTCTGTTACCATATTGGGCATGATGTTGCTTCATATAAAAATTGAGCTGTGAGAGAACCTGGTGACATCCTCAACAGCGTGCTGGCAGCAGGCTGTTTCATAAATTGCTAGTTCATTTCCATGATGGCCTTATCTTGCCAGGTGTGTGATTCCAACTTGTTGTAGCAGGCATTGTCTCATCAAAGAATGCTGCATCAGACTTGTAGTTGTCCATGATTCTGACACTTTACCTTCATCATAGAATACTCTCACAAGCCCTTGAAGGCCTTGGTGTTGGCTTTCAATCTGGTCAAACATTGCTCATAGAGCATGTCTGATTCAGTTTTTGAATTGTGTCACAATAAGAGCTCTGAGTTGATTCTCTGAACTGACAATCAGACCCAGCAAAGTTATTGACTCACTTGAAAGAGAGGTATTGTCAAGCAGCTGATGATAGTGATTCATAATATACTGCAGAGTAAACTCTGGTCAGGCATTTAGAGAGTGATATATCTTCTCAGCTGTAGATGGTATTTGTTGTATTTGAACCAGGATTGAACGGGGCATTGATGTGCACATCTAGAGAACTGTTCTGTAACAAGCAGTGAGAGTAACTGAGTTGATCATCTGGAAAAAAACAGTCAACTAAAGACATTTCTTGAAGCTCTAGATAAGAATTGCATGTGTCAATGCATTGATAAAGTGTTCAGCTGCAGTTTGCCTCTGTTGGCAAAGACAGTGAGTGTACTTATATGTAAGAAAGACATAACAAGGATTCATTGTCCGCTGCTACAGATGAAATATGTCTAAGATTTCTCCAGTATCTATTTGTTGAGGCTTCTTCGCTGTCATTATTGAAAACAGGTGAGTAATGTCTCTAGATTCAAGTATAGTCAATGATGATGATAGAAGCTCATTCCCCGGTCAGGCAACTGAAATCACAGCAGGCAACAAAGCATGGATGAAGCGACGCAGGCGCGAATGAAATCGCAAGGAAATGTTGATGAGAAAAGTCCACACGAGTTCCGGAATTTGAACCTTGAAATGTGTTATGAAAGCGGTGAGCATCTATCTTGATAGATGTTGTCTAAGAGAGCTGATCAAGAGCCGGCAAATAGCATCATGATCATCTCAGACAATTCATGAACGTGAAGCTACTGCCTATCAACAACTTCAGACACATGACGTGACTGAAAAGATCTATATGCCTTGATTCTATAGAAGCATTGAAAACCTTGAACCTGTTTAGAAATGACACAGAGCTCTCAAGTGTGATATTTGAATTATTTCTACATCTACTTTTACATCTAAATCTGAGACTGGTTGCTTCTGTATAGATGAAGAATGATGAATTCTCTTTTTTTCTACACAGTTCTCAAACAGTTGAATAATGAGAAAGCTCAGCTGAGAAACCAGTTTGCTTTCATAATATAAAGATAGTATTCAGTCAGGCTGAGAGGCTATTTTTTCTGTTAAAAAGCAAGCAGTCATTAAATGAAAAGACTAATGAAGAGAAAGAGTTTCTAGGTTAAAATATGTAATCTGCTATAAAAGCTTGACTATGCTGAAGAGTTAATATTTATTTAATTATATAACTGAGCAAGAGAAATTATGAAATATTAAACATAATTATTTAATAAAATAATGAGCTTAACTGTCTCACTTTTATAACTATTGTTATGTAAATATGAGAGTCACATGACTCACATCTAAGTCTCTCAAATCAGTGATGTATAATATTAATAAAATGTGATGAAATTAAAGAGCAGAAATGAAAGATTGATAATATGAGAAAAAAATCTTTATTAAAAGCTAGTTTTTTATAAGTAATATTCTTCTCTTTTACTTATTCTTATTCAAAGAATAGTGAGCATTTATAGTGAAAAAATCTGAAAAGAGCTTGTGTGTGACATGAAATAAATAAAAAATATACTAGAATTTAATATTCATTTTCTGCTGTTTATTTTTAAAAACTATACTGTAACAGTTTCTTTTACTTCATAACTTGAAAATGAAACAATAATAGAGTACTATTTATTACAGTTATATATTAATATTTTTATTTATTTCTTAACTTATCATCTATAATCACTTTTATTCATTTAAGTTATCAGTTAATTATTCACAATTTACTCACATTTATTACAGTGTGTATTAAAGTTAACACTATAATTTCAGAAACATCTTAAGAAACTTGAATAATACTACTCTAAAAGTAAAGCTTTGATAACATATTAATCAGTATCACAGAGACATGTAGACAGATAATATATCAGACATCATAGAAATCATTTAATAATTAAAAGAAAAAGAATTTGAAAATGAGTTAATAAGTTAGAAAGAATATTACTTCTTTATAAATTTTAAAAAAAGTTATCTCAGTCTTAAGTTTTAACTATATTATTAATATCTAGATATCAGCTCATGAATAAATGTCAAAGAGTATGACTCTTACTTTTCTGAGAATAAAGCTTGAGAGTCTCAATTGAGAGATTGTTCACATAAGCTTGAAGCAATGAATGCTGTGTCTAAACCACTAAAAACAGAGGGTTGAAATGATAGTGAGTAACTCTCTCTCTCTCTCTTCTTCTTCTTCTTCATCTTCATTGTTACTTCACTGAGCCTTCTGCTGTTCCCCCTGACTCACTCACTCTTGAATGTAAGTATAGTGCTCTCTGTTGGCTTCGGTGTTTCTCCAGCGCGGGTTTGCTGTTGCGCCTTCTGAAATGTTGGTTGAATTACCTATCCCACGCTGATACTGTTGTTCCCTGAAGTAATGCCTGAGTGTAAATCTTTTTTTTTTGATACTATTTATTATCCAACCCTCTGAATGCCGCCTGAAGATGCGCCCATAATTCATATGTTCACTCATTACTGCCTCTAAACATCACAGCCATAACTGTGTGAACAAACCAGGCCTTTTTAACTGGCTGCAAAGAAGCTGTGGGATCATGTTCTCATTCAGTCTTTACTGATCAATACACAAGGCCCGCTCTTTTTGATGTCATCCTCTATGTAATGCAGGCTCCCTTGAGTATTGTGATTAGCTCCGGTTATCAGCACTTGGGTGTCACTCTTCTCTTGAGACTTGAATACTCTGTACTTCTATAACATTGTAAAAGAGTATAATAGCTGATTCATACTTTTGACAGTTGCAGTGTATTCTGGAATCAATTGAGTATTTAAATCATCAACTGCAGCTTGTAGAGCTACTTTGTGATCCATGGTATGATGGTTGTAGAAAGGGTTAGAAGGGGGGAAAATAGAGGGGAAAATAGGGAGAAATAAATATGCGAGTGTTCGGTGGGGACGAGCGTTCGGTGGTGGATCACGTTAGTGTAGATATGCTGAGTGGGGAGTGCTTGTAAATGATGGAAAGGTAGCAGTAGCAGTAGCATTAGCAGTTGTAGTTATAGTCGTTGGAAGTTACGGACATGGCGGGTAAAAAAGACCAGAATGCCCAATTTGGAGACGTATGGACAGCACCAGGACAACTTTAGGAGCATTAACTACCTCGTTCACGAAGCGAAACCCATTCCCGGTTTGCCGAGCGGGTATTTACCCGCTTGCAGTTCCCAATAGCCATATCGGCAAAAGTGAGGAGCATGCGGATAAATGCGTCTATGGCAATGCTCTATAGGAACTATAGGAATCTCAGTTATGCCAAGAATGATATTTCTCGAGGTCACGGTTTCATTTCGTTAAGGCATCCATCCGCCTCTCCATTGTGCCACGCTTGTTGGTTTTCACTTCTGAAAAAGGGTAGGGATAAATATCATTTCAACATTCCGCTTTTTGCTGGATCCTGGTGCATTCTCTTTTTGCCATCGGCTTCATCAAGTACATTGCAAAGCTCCTTGCCTGCCGGCCGTTCAAAACACTGGCCTGAAAATAAGCAGGAGTATCTGATAAACCCCCTCCTCAACCTCAAAGGGAATCTGAAACCCTCACCACTGATGCTGCTAGCAATAGCTGTTTTCTAGACCAGAATTGCGGCATGTTCCTATCATTCAGCTCTTCGTTCAACCCCAGTTTCACATCTAGATCTGTGACGTCGTTGAAATGGTTGAGTAAAGGCGGCCCCGCCAGTTTCCGAGTGCTATCTTCAACGCACAAAGCGGAAGCATCAGAACAGATATCCTTAAGCAGCGAGAGGAGTTCCTTCTTGTTGTTATGGCTATCTCCGTGTGTGAGAAGCCTTTGGAGCATGGGGAACTAGCGCTTGGACACGATGGTACCACTTGCTGTGGGATGTTGAGTATTTCCTCCGGCAGTAAAACGATCAGAATGCTGGAAAGTGGTTATTGAATTGGACAATTGAAGTCAATGGTTGGCAGATGTGACTTGGGTGGAGGGATCGCTTCAATGGCACGGTAGGTGTTGTATGCCCATTGGGAAGTTATGAAATCATGCTTGGAATCTTGATATTCAGAAACACTAGAAGCGAGTACCTTCAGATACTCTAAAAATGATGTATTGGCTTGGGAGTTTGCTCACATCAACTTGGCAATTTCATACATGAATGAAGTTGAAGTTCAGGAAGATAAAGCCTTCCTTGCATAGCAGTGGTTTGAGTGGGACGGAAATTGCCTGGCTAATCCCTCTCTTTGCCTACCGCGGAATTGCAGTCAATTGGTTCCACGAAATGGTACCTATCTGGTAATGATGGTAATTTTATGGAGCTTGCGTGCTGGTAAACAAGGTGCATCAAGCTCGCCGCTCTAGACATCAACATCCAATTCCTTTTTGAGCAGAGGGTACGATATGCAATGAAAGAAGTATAATTTCGATCTCCTAAAAACAGCAGAAGACCACATGAGGGTCTGATTATTTGTCCCTGTCTAAAGCGAGTACAAATCCGTATGCCCGCATTCCATAATGACCACTATTTCAGCCAAATTGATGGGACAAGTGGTCGACCATTAGGGGATATGGGTGTTGAGGATATGGAGCTCCTATAAAAGAATTCCTTAAGCAAAAGTTTTCGCTGTCAACTAGTAGTATACACAAGGGACAGGCGGGTTTTAGGGAAGAAAGCGGGATATATCACCAAAGGGGGGTCAAGGTCATGTTTGTGAAGAGGAACTGAGCCGTTTCTCATCTGTGTGACCAGTTCCTAAGTCCGCGCTGTAAAAATTCTCAGGTCCCTCTATGGACAATAGTTAGTAAATGAAACTAGAAAACAAACGGGGGATTTTAACAATCGGCACGTCGTGAATTACCATGTCTTGTGTATAGTCTCCGTTCTACCTCATCGAACTTCGCTTTACCACTTTCAACGTCCTCACGTTTGACACCGAGGCGAGAACTCGGGAGTCCCATCGACAATAAAAACTTCACCGTGTCATTCCATTCAACATTTTTCCGCTTAGAATCCCATTTTAGCTCCTCCGCCATTATGTCAATGATGGTTGGGAGAGCCTCGAGGGCGGCTTGCGCATTCAAGAACGCTAGCCTGGTTCTCCGTGCCAAAACATCGACTGCTGTTTGCGCAAATTCAACGCGCGTGGCATAGCGTACCTCCCCGTCAATAAACGGGTAGAGAGGAGAAATGCGGACTCCACGGACTGGGAACCGAGTTTTTGTGGGAGACGACATAGCAGCTACATCCCATGCACGATCTCCGTAAGACTGCGCAAGATGTTGAGCAACATCTGTTGCAATTCCGAAGTGTTGGATCAGGTTAATGAACAGGGTTTTCGAATAGCCATGGGCGCCAACTAGACGGACTTGATGGGTCTGGCAAGACCCGTCCAAAACAGCACCATCATCGAAAAGTCCCGTTCCGCTGATGTCAGGAACTTGTTTATTAGGGCGCGGTTGTAAATCGAACTCTTTGATGGCTTCGTCAACAGCTTCCTCGCTCATTTGCCGATAAGTTGTCCATTTTCCACCAGCGCAGGTTAAAAGACCGGATTTAGATACTGTAATGAGGTGATTGCGGACCAGAGATTCCGTGTTTTTAGCTGCAGGATCTCGTACAAGAGGCCGAATCCCAGCCCAAGCTGCAAGGACATCCCCTCGCCTCACGTTGATGTCCGGCGCGAGATATCCGCGAATTTCAGTTAGGATCCAGTTTATATCCTCCTCAGATGGTATAGGCTGAGCAGTAATGGTAGTGGGGCTATCTGTTGTTCCTGCAATTGTATTTCCTTGCCACGGAAGGAAGAAAATGACACGTCCGTCCGAAGAGGCAGGGTCAATCAGTCCCATCTTTGCAGGGCTATAGTAACCGGGAAGAACAACATGTACCCCAGAGCTTGGTGCAACTATTTCGCTGACGCTTTCATCATCCATCTTCCTGATAGAATCCGTAAAAGGTCCTGTAGCATTTATAATCCCTTTGGCCTTAATAGTAATTTCCTCTACCTCTTTGCCATTTCTTCCTGGAACCAGATCCCTGACGCGGGCTCCATTGAGTCTTCCTGACTCGTCCTTGGTCAAACCGGTAACTTCCATATGATTTACAACCGTAGAACCATATAAAGAAGCTGTCAATGCCAAAGATACGTTCATTCGAGAGTCGTTATGGGCACCATCTTTCGTAATGATTAGCTTTTGCAGAAGTAGAATACGCTAGATTTTGGAGTTGGGACAGCCAAGTCTTACCATAGTATACAAGAGCACCAAAAAGATTATCCTTCTTCAACATTGGAAAGGCGTCTAGGGCCTTGCTCTTTGTGAGGAAATATGAACTCTCAATCCCCTCGGATCCAGCAAGGAAATCATAAAATTTAGTACCTGCCCAGAAATAAGGCAGTTGCCACCACTTTTGCACGGGAACCATAATTGGGAGCCACATCGAAAGGTGTGGTGCGGTGTGGAGGAAGTACTTGCGCTCCCGAAGCGCTTCTTTAACGAGTGCATATCTAAATACAAGATCTGTAAGCAGGAGTTCCCCACATGACAATGCAGGCGCTGCGTGACATACTGGCTATAGTCTAATTCCCAAACAGCCTTTTCCAGGTAGCGTACACCCCCGTGCACCAACTTTGTGCTCTTGCTACTTGTGCCAGCGCTGAAATCGTCGCGCTCAACTAGAGCTACTTTCAAACCGCGTGATGCGGCATCGAGAGCTATGCCAGAACCAGTTGCGCCGCCACCAATTACAAGCAGATCATATGGCGCATCGGTATCAGGCCGTGCCGGACTTTCGAGGGTGGATGCATCCTTTCCTAGCCTTCCGCTCCCGGATAGCAAGCTCGTCGTCTTTGCCAGTGAACTTCGTTTTAGGTCCTGTATGTGCTCGTCACGAGTTTTGACATGAGGAAAGCTTGGGGGAACTAGCTTTCCTCCACGGCTATATGATGGGGCCGGAACGGAGGCCGGATCCGATCCAGGTATATTGCGTGGGCGATACGCTAGATATAAGATGCCTCCTCCTCCTGTCGCAGCAGCAATTGTATACAAAAACGGTTTAAGAAAGCGGCTCAAAGGTCGACTAGGCATTCTCTAGTGAGATGGGTCCTAGAGTTACTGATGGAACAGGGCAAAATGAGAAGATCTATATGCACGGCAGAGAAATATGGCGCCGAGCTAAAGATTGAAGAGTTAGCAACCTACATCCTATGCGCAGCCAAGAGACCGAAAGATGACCTACTCCGCCCACCTAAGTGATATACAGAAATCGTCAAGTCAATGGAAGCTTGCAAGGACCTAGTGGACGGTAAAAGCGAACTTGTCTAAAGATCGGAATGGATTACCGACAGATAACACTAAATGCGAGGGAAACAACAAGAGCATTTAATGAATGAAGCAGTTGACGAATTGAGGATGCTGAGGGGCGTCTAGGGGGACATCGGGAGCCATTAAATGCAAGGAAGCGTAGAAGAAGGTGGAACAGGGTCTCATGATCCAGGATAGGATGAGAATGAGAATGATTATGATGGATGCGGCAAACCCGCTTGCTGCTGGTTTTCAAGATTGCAGCCGGTTTCATCAAAGCATTTGTTTGCAATGACGTCGGAGGTATCCGCAGCGACCGCCGAGCCCGCTGGCAAGGGCTTGCCGATGCATCTGGCCAATCATAGTCGAGTAACTAGTTATCGTTAACCCTGGCAGAAGCGCGATTCCTCAAGACTAGTCCAAATTTAGGTTAGGTAATTAAGTTACTAACTTCATCTGATATCAAAAATCGTCAATGGGGAATGGTTATACTGATTTTTGCTAGATACAGTTCTGTGGTGGTCAGCTATCTCAAAAGCACACTGATATGGAGCCATACTTGTTTTAGCTTCGATTACTTCTACTAAAAATGTGTCCTTACGTGAAAACAAAGCCAAGTTGCTCAGGGAGCAAACTTCTATTGTTCCCCAGGTTAGCAGTGTGTGACTGAGATTTTATAGCTCCATGCTGTGAACTTTCTCAAGTTGCTTATTTTCTTGCTGGTGTCGGAAGGAGATCGCTGCTGTCGTGCTTGTTTGCACATTATTGATCAATTCAACTTTGTTTTTTCTTCATCCCTCAATTTTGGGGTTCTATATTGTTACCCGACCAAGGCAGACTACAGCGGTCAGCGAACACCTACAAAATCTCTTCTTTACTCATATCTATGGCCCAAGCGTCTACGTCAATCTAGGGTTCAAGGTATCTGTTTACATCATAGACAGAATATGGAGCTTCAGCCGTCAAAAATGCCTGCAACCCTTCATTAGGTTGGGGGGAGATTTCCTTGGTATCAATACACCCAATTTCCGAGCCTGCAGAAACGGCCTTGGAGTCGCCCAGGTGACTGTTTCGGGATACAATTGTTGGAACATCTACCGACTCGCGCCATTTGTATACCTACAATATCTACAAGGTTATGTTCGAATCCCCCCGACTACAGGCAAATACTACTGACCCTTCCATAGTAAAGAAAAGACAAATATTCATAGGCTTGGAACTTCATGACTACTGACGATACCATATTTTATCTAAAGTCAATAGGTGCAAAGGACCAATGCGAAATAATATCAATGCGACGGGAGTGTTTTGGTTATGCATAGCAAAACAATAGGCTGGTTGGACAGACTGAAGTGATGCAGAAATCATTATTATTGTATTACTTTGAATTGATATGTCTTTTGACCTTGGTGTTGTGAGAGCAGATGGATTATCATTTCCAGGAAGTATCTTCCGTGGTTACCTATCTCAGTCATTTAAATCCCCGTGATTTTGCAACGGGTTCCATACTGCAATTTTCGTTGCGAAAGCAACAACGCTAGTTTCTCACATTAGATTGAGATGTTGGAAAAGAAAAGAGATGAGCAAGATTTTTTTTTATCAACATGCCGGTTGAGAATTTCTGCCATTCAATGCGAATCCAGTAAACATTGGCACTCAATTATTCACCCTCCCCCAACTCTGCCACGTCAAGACTCGCGTCATGGTATCAATGGATGGCCAGAAGAGGGCGCACAAGAGTGCTCAGTCATGCAATGATTCTTGAAGCGCCTCGAATTACAGCCGGCTACAGTTGAGGGACAATTCATCGACGCATCCGTTATCTTGTCCGCTAATATTTCACAAACAAGCATCACAGAATTGAGAGTTCAAGGCTACCAATGCACCAAAGCATGGTATCGGTACATCATCGGTATGAGGAGCCCTTCTCGCTATCTACTCGGTTGCGCTACCCACTCCTCGCGTCCAGGAACTTCGTCTCCTTTCCTTTACATATTCAGCTAGCAAACGATAACGCTTTTATGTCTGTATTGTCGAGAAACACCATTCTGCACGCCCGGGATATTCGAAAGCTGACCAAACTTGCGCTCAGGAGGTAATGAAAACTGGACCGCCTCACAACACATGCATACATACGACCCAAACACCTACCTCACTTTGCATTACTTTTAGGTCATCGGTTGACTTTCAAAATATTACTTAGCCAGTAGCCATTGATAAGAGTCAGCTAGCTAACATCGCCAAAAAAATGGAAATGGAAAGGGAAATGGAAAAGAGGCAACATGAGCAAACAGCTTTAACTTCCGTCCGACTATCTTGTGAGATGCAGAAAGTTTCGATCCCCTACCAAACCTTCTAGAGCGGACGGAACAAATTGATGGCACCTCCATGTAAAAGAAAAGCCAAGCAGAAAATCCGAAGAAAAGAATCGAGGTGGCAGTTGTACAGTAACTACCAGACCTAACTGCATACCTTGGTAACTCTGTGTTTTCAACCAGTAACACCACATCCCGCTTTCCTTACCAGCACAATTGGGGAGGAGAAACCACGCAATTGGATAAATTTCTATTGAGCCAGCGCCTTGCAGCAGCGATATCGGTACGGACCTAATGGCATAGCCATTAATCTTTTCGAGAGGAATGATCAGATTTCTTCGATGGGTGGTTTTGACAGGGCGAAACCCAAGATCATGGTGAATGAATTTTCCTCTAAGTTTTGGACACTCTGAAAAGCCGGAATTTGGAGGACGGTTGCACAGCGGCTTAGGGAATTTTCTTGCTTGGACGGTACAAGGAGGAGATAACCTGAGAAACAAACCCTGTATCAAAAAAATAAAAATAAAAAACAAAAAGTTGCGCCCAATTCATTTTCACTGTTTGAAAAATATCCAACCCATTTTTTCATTTGCTTTCATATATTTGATTTTTAACAATAGTACAGTACGTTATAATGGAGAAAGGATTACGTGTCTATCTTCAATAAAAGCAACAACAAATCCTAAGGACGAATTCCACTCTATGCCAATATTGAAACAATACCAAGTTTCATATCTTCCCGCCTGCGGCACAAGACACGGCATAGCAAGGACAACGGGGGGAACAAGTGGAGCTTGTTCAATACACGGCAGATGTAAATTAGTTATTCTAATATTAGTACTTTTGCAGTAGAAAGAAATTCAATATTTCTAATAAGCATTTTACTCAAAGCAGTGCATTGAGTAACTCTGAAAAGGGTTTCCCTCTGATCCACAGCCTGTACGCTGCGTAAGAGAGTATGTATAACCCGCCTCTATATCCATTCATAGTAGGTAGATATCATCCTTCCTGGATCTTTCTTATCTTACAAACACACCCGGGAGATTACACATTTATCACCAACCTGCACATCTCCATCACCGTGTTCATTCAGCCAAACTACTCTAGACACATCCTCAGCAACTGCCAGCAAATGAGATAGTTACATGACCTGACTCGCACCAGTCTCGAGGGAGAAATCGAAAGCTAACCCGAACCAACCCTTGGCCATGACACACATAAACTAGATCGATGGAAGAGAGGAGAACAGACAGGAGCACAATCAGAGTTTCCGCTAGAAAACGGGCAAAGGAAAAACCCCGTCCATCACCTATCCCGCGCATAAAGATACTCCATCGGAAGGATCCCGGAATTCTGCGAAAAAAGTCAGGAAATAGGAATAAGAACTGTTTTTATGATCTTCTCCCGCCAGAATAAAAGAATAGTTTTGCCCTGACATTTTTAATGGCTGTGTGGTCGTCCTCCTTGAAATTAGCAGATGATTGATTGCCCAAAAGTGCTAGTCCAATTTAGAAGCAGCTATATGAATGAGATGATTATATGAACAGGGCGAAGAAGATATCACGGCGTGGATAATGTTTTTGAAATGTATTTTTCTATATGGGCCTAGAACTGTCAGCTGAGGTTTTTAACAAGCTGCGTGTGCGGGGTTACATGGAGAACTAATACCTCCTCTCAGACGCAGTAGTAGAAGCAGAAAACAAAGAAGCAACAAAAAAACAAGATCGAGACTGTCAATTTCCTGTGAAGGTCTAAAGCTTCCTTTGATTGAAAAGGTGGCTAGCTAGTGGGAAGTTATATGGTAATAAGCCAGGACATGTAACCTGACATTTCCAACGTCAGCACTTCTACTATTGTCTGTCCTGTTAAGTAACTTGGTAGGAGAGAAGACTACTTCTCAGAATACTGAACTGACAAACGCGGACCTCTCTATGTATACGTATCCCCACATTCAGCCGCATGAAGGGAGTCCATGGAATAGATATAGATATATATATATATATATATATATATATATATATGTAGCGTGGCGCATGGATTTTGCTGAGAGATGCTATTCGGAGAGTTTGTCGTGCATTCCTAACCACATCCATTACATAGTTAACTTACTTTCCATACCGGGGGATTGGGTGAGGGGCATGAGGGGGGTTTGGCTTGTACTTAAAAAGTATTTATAAGAGATTCATGTACATGTACATACATACATATACAGCCCGTGGAAAGAGTCTCAGGGTTGATATATCTCTCCGTATATTTTTCTAGTTCTATCAAATCTATACAAAAACAAATACCCAACAAGTTAAAAATAATAGCTAGACATCACATCATATCATATCATGTCCACCACCCCAATCCGCATCGCCATAATAGGCGGCGGCATGGCCGGCGCCTCCCTCCTGCACGCCCTGCTCAAACACCCCCGCATCTGGACGTCCACATCTTCGAGTCTGCCGCTGAAATCAGAGAAGCCGGCGCCGCGGTTGGCGTGGCGCGGAACGGGCCGGTGCAGTCCCGCAGTGCGGGGTCCGCTTCATGCATGCGCAGGGCGAAGGGCGGAATAGCATGATTGATGAGATGAGGGATGACGATGGGCAGGCGCTGGTGAGCATTGTGCATCGGGCGGCGTTTCCGCGGGAATTGCTCAGGGATGCTCCGCCGGAGCGGCTGCATGCGTCCAAGAGGCTGGCGCGGGTTGAGCGCGCGGACGAGGACGGGCCTGTCACGCTTCATTTCACGGATGAGACGAGGCACGAGTGCGACATCGTCGTTGGCGCTGGTGGGATCCGTAGCACGGTTCGCAGGGGCATTCTTGGAGAGAGGGATCCGGCTACGAACGCGAGGAATGCTGGCTGGTGGGCGGTCATGGCCTTGAAGTCGTACGCTGATGTCCGGGCTAGTATTGGCGAGGAGTTAGTTGATATTGATGATACCCGTGAACATGGGTGGGTTGGCGATGGCGCGTTTCTGATGCATGACATATTGAACGAAGGGCAGCTGGTGCAGTTCATCATTTCCGTGCGTGAGAAGGAGGCCGAGGGGTCGGATAAGTGGTATCGAATGGTGAGCGCGGAGGAGATTTCAAAGGTCTACTGGGACTGGCCGCTGCATCTGAAAAATGCAGCGGAGGAGGTAAGTAAAACTATATAGTTACCCCCCATCAAAGCAAGCTTTTCAAACACATAGCTAACGTGGACGGCATATTTCTTTAACTACTCTGCAACCAGCCTGAGCAGCGTGCCATATACAATTGGGAGCATCCACATGCCCGTACGTATGTATCCGGGCCAATTTGCATCATGGGAGACGCCGCTCATGCCATGACACCGTTTCAAGGCTCTGGCTGCGGCATGTCCTTTGAGGACGCTCTCATCCTCTACACCCTGCTCGGCGGCTCAAAGACTCCTGCGGAGGCGCTCGTGGATCTACAGGTGTATGACCAGGTTCGCCGGCCCCGAACCCAACGTATTGTGGAATCGAGTCGGAACACAGGGCGCATCATCACTGGGGGAAGGGGAGGAGATAGGGTTGGATCTGGAAAATCCAAGGCAGGGCCAACTGCCAAGATGGGATTTTATTATTGATTTTGATAATGTCAATGCTCGCGATGAGTCGGTTGAGATGATGATTGCCGAGTTGGCAAAAATGAGAGAAAAGCCTTAGAGAAAAGTACATGTACAGTAGTGCATGTATGTACGTTCCGCTGGCTTGGAGCTTTAGAGTCTCGCTGATATCAAATAGAGTAATTATTCAGAAGCTCTTCATCCACAGTTCCCACGCGCAGGCTTGCGGCGTCAGTGCGTTAATCGTGTAGATGCGCGAATATGTGCGTATTGGAGGTAATCTGGCGTGGAAGATCCCTTTGTTTCCAGTGCAAGTGCGTAAATTAGTTACGCGGCATGGCAGCAAGATGGATTTTCATTTCAAATTTTCCCTTATTTTTTTTTTTTTTCCTGCTGATCTCGATCGTCTTTGCAGCTGCAAGGTGCTTGATACGGAAATCATGAATGTCAAGAGTATGGAAGTATGGGGGAGTTGATGATCTCGGAGACACCGGCAAATCCCCTCGCTTGCCGATGTTGGATTATCCAAAGTTTAGGAACTCGGAGGTCGATGACAGAATGAAAGTCAAAAAAAAAAAAAAAAAAAAAAAGGGATGTTCACAACAATTGAAGCTGAAAAAGCTTTGATGCTGTGAGGAGAAAGAGCTTGATCTCGTATTTTCCAAAAACCACAACCAGCAAGTTGTTATGAAATCACGATATCCATCAGCTCCTAAGAACAGGAATACAATACCCCCCAGCGCCCCAAAGCATTGAATAATGTCCTGCCTCTCTTCCCCAGAAATCCAAAAAAGGGCTTATCCCGACAATAAGGGAGTCGGGACCACAAAAGAGTGCGTGGGATAGCGACCAACCAACAATTATTGCCAGAAGCCATGACCCACGGATCCAGCAATCAACAGCGGACAGACTGTAGACTGTGATTTCCGTCACATTTATCATCACGCCACATTGTAGAATTGTGCGTGGCATGGAGCACGGAGAGAGCCAACCCAACTTACTGGGTTTGAAAACCATGTTTTTCTTTTTTCCCCCGTCGGGAGAAAAAGCACGGGAGAATATAAAAAAAGAAAAAGAAAAGATACTCCGCACAGAGCGCATTGAACCAACAGCAAAAGACAGGCAGCCAAGCCATCTCAATCGAAATGCTAATTAATAATAGTAATAAGGCCTCAGGAACTCAAGCCGATCGTTGAAGGCTTAACTACGGAGTACTCCGTAGTTACAGCGTAAGTCAAGAAAAAAAAAAAAAAAAAAAAAAAAGCACTGAGCGAATGAATGCCAAGTAAAGGGGTTTGATGCTTGATTTGGTGGTCGGTCCATGCATGAGACACACGCTACGTACATCTCGTATTTCCCCAGAAAACGGATCATCTTCGACCCGCCGTGTCGTTCTTGGATAATCTGGATAGCTTCAAACCAAACCCCCTCTTAGGCTCTCACACGGCTCATTTATTAGTATCATTCGCTAGGTTACTGACTAACTGGCTAACTGGCCCACTGAACTCGGAACAGTAATCTGCTGATGGGCCTGAAAAAGCAAAACCAGAGCCAAGATCCGGGGTCGGGGAGGGGAAATACGCTGGTGGTAATTAATTGTGTTCGAAGCTTCGGCAACCCTAGTATGATATGGGGGGTTTGTCCGGCAGGCATGCACAACAATAATTGTTCCATAGAAGGAACAGAGGAGTAAAATGAGGAGTTTTACAAAAAAACCTCCCATAGTTATTCATGGTAATCCCCTCCTCCGGCCCATGAGGCAGGAATCCCATGCAATGGACTCAACCACATTCCACATTATTGTCGTTCAATGGAGCGGCAGAATGGAGAAGAAGATAATGAGTGGGTGAGTGGTTAGTCTCAAAATTGAGGCAAGCATGTGCAGTTTCCTGCACCGCCATAGAGGAAAAACGGAACGGTGGTGTGTGTGTGCGTGTGTGCGTGTGCGCGTGTGGACGAGCGTTGGACAGGCACCACGACATGCGTTGAAAGTCGCTTTTGCGGTACCGCCACACTTTTTCTATTCTGTTCTTTTCTTTTCTTTTGCCATTAAGATATGTTATCTGGACCCGGTTCGTAGACTTCCGTTTTGTGCAATCCAATCCAATCACTCGCGTCGTCCGAGACAACGGGTTGCAATGGTTGCTCAACAATGCTCAACCACCCAAAATATCACAACCGTTCAAATCCCAGGATCATGGTGGGTTGGAGCTGGAGACTGTAACTCAGATGATCAATTGAGGGTTCGACAAAAACATGACCGTTTCTTGAAATATACCCTGAACAAAGCTTTTTTGTTGCGATCACCAGACACATTTTCGCATGCCAATCTCTCCCCCCCCTTCTGAAAAAGGACCCTGAGAATTCGCGCAGGAACTTCCTCTTTAGCCTTCACGGTCATTAGGTTTGGCTATTCGCATTTGTGGGGGATCGATCAATTGTTTCGCTTGCCCACCCGCCCACCCGCCCACGCGCCCACCCGCCCACGCCCCCCTTGTGCCCTTGTGTCCTTGCGCCCTTGTGCCGTTGTGCCCAGGATGCGGGGACCAATAATCAGCTGAGCTGACATGAGAAAGAGGCGTCGCAAGTGGAAAATTATGATGGCAGCTATGGCGAAAGAGGATAAGTTAACATATGGCGTTGAAGAAAGGACCGAGTGGTAAGACGGATAAACGGTACCTCGGTAACAGGACGCTGGTTAGCTTCGTAATAACAATACACCGCGCACTAGGAGAAAAAGCCACTATTTGCTTCCTTCTTGCCCCCTCCCGCGCCAAAAAAAGAAAAAAAAAGGAAAGGAAAGGGGTAAAAAAAAAAAAAAAAAAGAAGAGATTGCCGTTGAAAGATTGCACAGAAAAAACCGGGGGTAAAAATACGCTGGTAGATACAGACTACAGTAGGCCAGGGCGGGGGCGGGATCCTAGATGCCAAGGGGAGAGAAATAAAATTAATACAACTAACTCCCATGCGAATACTCCTGGCATGACAGGGCGCGGAACAGTAAGATAAGAAGAAATTGAATCGCTGAAAAATTTATCTAAAAGGATGAATACAGGGCAAGGTGGGCAAAAATTAAAAATTGAAAGGGGAAAAAAGAAATCATCTTGACTTTCTCTGTGTTGTTGCTACACCTCCTGTACAATAATAGCACTAACTACCTCTCACAACATTTCCAGTTTGCAGGAAAGTGATCAGCTTATTTAATACGGATTAACTATACGTGTATCATGATAATTGCCGAGAAGCCTTCTTCCTTTTACTTTACAAGCATGGCATTGAGAGGGGTAAGTTTAACTACTGTTGATATCAGAGATAATTTAAACAATGGTCTCCTTTTTATTATTACACTTGTCCGAAGCTGGTTTTTCTGTTCATGGGTTCATTTATTGTACCCGGAGATTTTTTTTCATTTTAAGATTATTAGATAGATATCCATCCACTCTGTATACAGATTACATGCATATTCTCTTCAAGACCAAACCCAAACAAACCAAGTTTGAATAGAAATAATTTTTTGTCTGTGTGTCCGAAATTCATAACGTAAAGAATGCATGAGAAATTACATAAAAAAGGCGCAATGCCTACACAGCTCAGCTCTGTGGCGGCATATTACAGGCCGAGGAAAAAGGGTTTCTTGCTTGTTTTGTTCTGAGCCCTTCTTCTGATTCTGGTCTGACCTGGCCTGACATGACATGCCTCACTTCTTGCGAAAAGGGAGAGTTTTAAATATGACTATCTGTCTGTCTGCGTGTGAAAAATTTTTATGCGAGTATGTATATGTGTGGTGGTGGAGATGTATGTACTGTACATATGTGAGTGCACGTACGTGTTTTCCTACTGATGCTTTAGGGAAGAAGAAGAAATACCATACCGATGGAGGATCAACCCGGCCCAGCTAGCTCATTATCGAATACTGACTGTGTAAAACGGGATGAACGTGTTCTTCCAATCTGGGTAAAAATGCAGCTAGAGCAGCAGAGGAGAGCAGTAACACCAAGGTAAAAATCATGGTAAAAGCTTTGTTGTGTTTCAGGCGGCAACAACATAACTCCCCTTCTCTAGTTATATTTAGAAGAAAGAAAGAAAAAGGAGCGCCAAAACCTTCGCAAAATATTAGAGCTTACAACTGCTGAAACTGAGCTTCTACTACTACTATCCACCCATCCATCATGAAAGGATGCATGTATCAAGCAAAGTGAAAGTTAACTCCAGCTATTGGCTGAACAAAGAGCTAACACCAACACACAGCATGAGCATATTCAACACCTACATAAACGCATGACAGAAAAAAAAAAAAAAAAAAAAAAAAAAAAAAAAAAAAAAAAAAAAAAATTTGAACTCCCCTTCTCTACTGACTGGCAGGTGAAGAAAGCTACAAAGAAAGAGACTTGGCAAGGAGCTATTTAGCTACTCTGTGCTGTGAGCAGGAAGCTTGAGGGTATGAAAAGCATGAAATAAATAACTCATACTTTCATGGTGTGAGTTTCTCTGTTGTCTGGTGGGAATTCTTTTTTGTTTACATGTAGCTACTGTACTCCCAGCTCTGTACATATATTTCTATTCTGGTTCTGGAAAACATCTCTGGGAGGGTTAAAGGACATATATCATTGTTAAAAAATCCCATCCAGCATTCAGATTCCACCAATACAATAATATAGTACATTACTAACAGTCGTTGGTATAAACTGCAAAAGAAAAGTGCATTGAACTAAGCTATGTATCTCGAGAGAGAGAGAGAAGAGCAAGAAAGCTCGCGGATTCGTCAGCAGATGGATGAGTTGCAGAGAGGACACGAAAACGGAGATCAAAGGCTTCAAATGTTCACATATCCCATCCCTAAGGTCCCCCGTCCCGTTCAGGGCACTTGCATATATGTATGTACTGTATTTCTGCAGGATAGCTAAGCTCAGCGGCGGGGCCGGGCAAGGGCTTGGTTTGTCTGGTATGTAGCTGTGGGTATCAAATCAAGGGTATTTATTTTTGTATAACCAACAAGCAACATGCTCGGATCTGCCGTTTGCCGGAGAGATAAGTTGAATAGCGATGACGATGACGATGATGATTGAGAGCAGTACCCGGGAGGGGGGGGGGAGGAGGACTCACAAAGAAAAAGATTACGATAAGGATAAGGCTGTCACAAGCCACTTCTAACTTTCTTATTTTTATTTTTGTTCTACCTTCTCCCCTCCATCAATTGAGGGTTGGGTGGGTGTGTGTGGCGAGTGTAGGTGCTTTGATATCAACGGATTTCGAGAAACACAAGAAAAGCAATTAAAAAATAGATTACCGCACTACACAAACATAAGGCATAGCAGTTGAGAACTCAAGCCACAGAGGAAGTTTTGGTCCTAGCAGACAGAAGGGGTTTACAGAACTAATAATACACTACGTACTCTGCGCACAAGCAATTGTTCCAGCTAGCTGGCCTTGTCTGTGGTAGCCGCTGCTGCCAAACTGCCACTGCCACGGTGAAGAAAAAAAAGGGAAAACAGCGTGGGAATGTCACTATAGGCTGCCGTAGTGGGAGCTAAAAGATAGCTGCAGCACAACTAAAGCAGCCTACAGTCTGTACACAGCCAAAGAGACACAGGAAGGGCAGGCAGGGCGAGCAAGACAAGTGCACAAAGCGAAAGCTTGGGGTGTGTCACAAACACCATCACTTGTTGTTATTAAATACCACTCGGTATTCAATTTAGTAACCGTGCCATGCTTACTCACTCTCTGTAGTGAGTGCGCCACAGCGTACGGAAAACCACACCGTAAAGAAAATATTTTGAATATAGTAATCTTCAAAAATTAATTAATAATCACCACCACATCTATCTATAACATAAAGATTATTTATATACTCATTAGAAGGTGTAGAATCCACTGTAAGTTGAGATTCTATAGAATTATCTTGTTGTGGTTGAGTGGCTGTAGATTTTGTAGGTTTGATTCCAATCGATTGAAGAGTCTTATTGAATGTCTTTTTCATCTCATCTGCTCTACAGGTCGCGATCTTGCGATTGGTATTCTTAATAGTGAGGACTCCACCTACTTGCACCTGCCTGTGGGAGGATTTGACGACCTGATGTCTATTTGCTCAATAATGATCTGCAAGTTCATCCTCACGGTGCGCGTTCAATTCCGCCTGGACCATGCTACTCTTGAAGATCTTGTTCAACCACCTTGTCAAACCAGGTGTAAGGGTATCCTTCACATCTTCTAAGGCCTTGGCTGCTGCATCGATTTGGTGACGTAGTTTTGCAACCATCTCTGGGGAGGTTAATTGCAAGGAGGCAGTTGACAGTCAATCTGCAGGTGGTGGGGTAAAGTGATCACATACATCACCATCATCATCGTATATGTTGAGATCCGGGGCATCATCAATGGTAAGAGGTCTCAATTGATTGAGAATTATATCGTGATTAACTGGATACATTTCACAGTCAGCAAAGCCAGCTCTCACAGTGTCAGGTTTGAATGCTTGCAGTCAGATGCTCTTCAGATTAGCAAGGAATTATCTATCATTATACTACTCATATCTGTAGCAGACAGTCTTATTAACTGCAATTGATGAATTCATATCTTAATTGCCTCTTCCTGGCTGTCATTCAATGCTCGATTCAGTGGAACCCTCATAGTCCTTGATTTCTTCCTGTTGATCCTCTCATACAAGGTGGCATATGAGACTTTGAATTCTTGCGACAGAGATGTGATTTTTAATTTTGAATTGCTTTTGTACATGTCAACAGCTCTTTGCAACTGCTCCTCAGTGTAATTAGAAGATTTAGACATGGTTATAATTAATGATGATTATTTGAAGATGAAGAATGAAGATATTGAAAATATTTTCTTTACAGTGTGGTTTTCCGTACGCTGTGGCGCACTCACTACAGAGAGTGAGTAAGCATGGCACGGTTAGTGCATAGGTTATTGAGGAAGAGGAGAATTGAGGCAATGGGAAAAGAAAGCAGCAATTGATAGCATACGCGGCGTAAAACAGAGGTTAGAGAAAGAGGAAATCTCTATCCATCCCTTCTCTCAGTCTCGCCACTCATCATCCCTTCCATTCAACCCAACCCAAGCCAGAAGGGAAAAAAAAAAAAAAAAAAAAAAAAAAAAAAAAAAAAAAAAACCCTCTCCAAATCCCACTACTGCAGCCTCTCGCAGCCTTGCATGATGGCCTGCCCACCCATACGGCATCCATCGCAGAAAATGAACACGCCACCACCACTTGGTACAGACTAGTTAGTTAGTAGTTACTGTGTCTTGGATTCTCCGACGACCTTGTATAAAATCCTCCTGCCGTTCGTCCCTGCATACATACTTTTATCTCGCCTTTTCTTTCCCGCTTGAGCCTTATGCCGTGCGGGCTGCGCTTCAACCTTCTGATTTTTCTTATTCCTGTGTTGTAGCTGATGTAGAGGCCCCCCGCTAAGCTATATCGGTAGTAGGCAGACAGTGCCCGGTTGTTGGTGCTAGTCCCAAGCGTGGTTTCGGGGGGAGGGGGTGGTCAGGCTGCTCTTTTTTAATAAATTATGCAGCTTTAGGTATCATACCTTGTATCCCGGATTTATTAATTTATTTGCAAAGGTTGGGTATGGTATCCAGGTGTTACTACTACTGCGTATTTATTATTTATATGTCCTCCGTATTGCTGGGATTATAAAACTGCAGAGCGAGCAATTGAGAGAGATATAATATCCCTGTTGAGGTTTTATGCAGGGGATCAAGGCAACCATCTGATGGTTGATTGGTTGAGAGGTTAAAGCTTTCTGGAAGAGAGCAATGAGAGAATTTATTGGAAACTTTTCCCCCTTCATAAAAGAGGAAAAAATGTCCACAGTTAACATTCCTGGCACGGCAAGCTTGATGACGCTTCATCAAACAGCACTCAGCGCTCAGGAACAAAGCTGAAGCCTGAAGTCTGAGAGTCAGGCAGAAAGAAGACAGGGGACAGCGGACAGCGGACAGCGGACAGCGAACAGGGACAAGGTATGTTTGCTGAGAGGCCTGTGAGCCTGTGAACTTCCAAGGTTGAGAGGCCTGGGAGCTTGAAACGAGTGTGTGCGTCGTTTCAGCAGCCAATGAGACGATTTGCGCAATGCTTGCCTGGCTGTCTCTCCCGCTCTTGTTCGCACCGTACCGTACCGCAGGAGCCGAGCGGTGCTGAGCCTGTCGTGGATCATGGATATTGATGGAAGGGAGTACAGTACTGATGCGCTGGAACCAGCGAGCCGGAGAGTAAAAAAGGGAGTGAGTGGTTCGAGGTGGATGAGACCCACTATACACACGCACCCAACGACACTCGTGGCTTCTTTCCACACGTCCATAGGTAGGTTAGACACGGGAATACTCCATAGAGAGGAGAGTGGTGTAACTAGTTGGTCATAATTAAGTTAATTCCCTCATGCGCATGCGTTTTTTGCCATCACTTTGCATCATGCTTTTTGATTAAGATTTTCTATTTCCTGCGCACGGTGTGTGTGTGTGTGTGTGTGTGTGTGTGGTGGGTATTTCAGCTCCGACACTGATACCCAGCAGCCCAGGTGGTGTGTTGGCAGCAGCTGACAGGCTTAACCAACGAGTGCGTGGAGGAGAGAAGCGAGTGGAGACGCAAACACACGCACACATGCAATCCATACACACACACTCTCTCTCTCTCTCTACAGACGGTATTTTTTGCTTTCCCATGCCTCAGCACTCGCATGTCGAAATCATTATTGGCCTCTCAGAACCTTCCAAGGTTCTTTTCTAGCTCGCAATAATAATAATGTTGATCGGGAGGATTCCAATTCTCCATTTCCCTTTCTTAACCACAAGGTCTGGCTTTGCTTTCTTTCCAAAAAAAAGTAGTTAGAGATAACTAATCACACGGATGACTCAGCAAGGATGAAGGCTAGGTACAGCTGAGCCGCTTCCTTATTATATATTTGCAGCCTCTCGCGATTCTTCTTGCAGTAACATACAACAAAGCAATGGCCCCTGTACATCCCCCGCATCGCCATCAGTCATCCATTGAGGGCATCATCAATTTTTCCCCTCCTCAACCCTTCACACCGGGTCAACGCGTCCGGGCTCAGCGCAGATTTTACGATATTATTCACCATTTCAGAGCTGTGGATAACAGCAGAAGGTATGGATACAGCCCGCGCTTTACTCCTTCGCTATACATATGAATATTCGCGATCTGAGTTATCGCGAGATACCTTTCTACGTTCTTTCTTCCAATCTATGAAGGTAGACGCTGAAGAGAACAATATCGACTTCGATGATGAGGATGGCACAAACTTGGCCGCTTTTGCAGACTTTATGATAGATAATTTCTTTCTGCCACGTCTGTCCCATTATTAATCCCTGTCGTGTCTGCTAACCTTTTTATAGTCAAAGCATCTAGCCACCACACTCCACAGCCCTCCCCTGCACACCTTTCAGTAATTCAAAATGTACAAGGAAGACGTGAATTTACTGGAACACCAGACCGAATATCAGTACTTCGAGGTTCTTGCCTCATCCGTGACCATCATCGTTGCGTGATCTCTCGCAAATTTGATCCGCAAGAAGCAATAGTTCGTCTGACAGAATATGGCTGTGATGCCCAAGATGATGAAGCGAACCCACTCCAGGGACAGTTATCTATGATTTTAGAAGTGGCCCATATACTTCCACATCCCCTGACACAGACAAATGCAGATTCCCAATTAGTAAGCTATCTTGTCAAAGAGAATTCTTCTTTTGACTAACTGGCTAATTGACATGGTTAGGATTATTCCAAGAAAGCTGCTCTCATGATTCTTCATATGTTTGACAGTGACGTCTCACACCTAGTTGATGGCATCGATATTGATCAGCCATTTAATGCTATGAGTCTTACTCATGATCTCCATGCCCTTTTCAGCAACTTTAAAGTTTTCTTTGAACCTGTTCCGGGCCAGGAGCACACCTATCAAATTGATACTTTCCTTCCTCCAGGAATCTTACAAGATATCCCTGTCACTTGCACACTCTATCTCACAGATAATCAATCAATAGACCCCCCTTCATCTCGGCTCCTTGCACTACACTGCGCCATTGCTCATATTCTTCACCTCTCTGGGGCAGGAGAATATATTGACAGTATCCTCCGGGATATGGAGACGGGTATACAAGGGGATGGGTCCACAGAACTGGGCCATATAGTAAAGTTGAGACTGAGTGGTTGGCTTGGTGCTTCCCGTGGCCAATCACTATCCCATATTTAGGTACCATGTTGTGGCCCTAGGGACGGCCGAGTCCCGTGAGGCCGGCAAACTTGAAATAAGCGGGGAGTCCTAAAACAACAAAGTAGGTAAGGCAAGAGTTTGTGCGTTAGATAGCCCACCGAAGACGCGACATTGACTACTTCTCTGGTAGTGTTTTCTTACAGATTTTACTTCAACTTCAACACCTTCTCTTCCATTCTCAAGTGTATCGGCGATAAAAATGTTCTTCCACATGAGCGTTTCTTTGATATGTTTAACAAATTGCCCCCCACCCGAGTGCCCAACCTCGCAACTCAGCCAGGCGGCGTCGTTCGATCCCGAAATGCAACCACCTAGGATGCCCTAAACACATACTTGGGAAGCACGACAAAGGCAAAGGCAGAACAAGAGATGGGAGAGCGATATCGGGGGGCGTTCTTCGGTCAGGACGAGTGACTGGAAGACCTTGGGAGACAAGAAGCAGATGTTAAAATGACCGTGGGCCGGTGCTGGCTGATGAGCTGCACTCGATCGATAGATACCAGCTGGTAGCATATAATCAACCTGGTACGCACGGACATGCCCACCCAGTACCGCTGCTAATGGACTTCGGGACCCCCGTTTCTCAAACGGCGCTCCAACCTGCACATCATTTCCCCCAACTTGGTCAACCTAAAAAACCGATTCTGTTGTCCTCCACTGTAGAAAGCTCGCTTCGTTGAGAAGTCCGAATCAAAGTCGGGCCGAACAATTTCCTGCGGGCTGTGCCCTAGGTAGCGTAGTAGATCCACGTGACATAAATAAGGCAGGTGATAAGTCGCCAGCCCAATCAGGACTCAGGGCTGCCCGATGTGATGCCCCGCCATGGAACTAGGTCTAGCGGCCACATACTAGTTAATAGTGGAGATCGGCCGTGTACAAGCGTCAAATTAGGCGTCATCGTAACTCCGTAATAATGAAAGGAAGAATTAGTAGCGCCGCTCATCCCCCAGACGCCCCGCCGTTCATATGAGTTCCCCCCCCCTCCCCTTCCCCCGCCCCACTGATTATTGGCACATTTGGTTCCCCCTTTCCCCTCTTTTTGTTCATTGGTGTTCAAGCCTACTTATGTACTTATACATACTCCGACTACTTGGCTTAGCTGTGGCTGTGGCTAGGTTAGTTCTGCTACGCTACAGCGTAAGTGGTAGTTCTAGCGAGTAGCGCGGCTACTGCGTAATGCCGTGCCATACCCTCCCGTCTCGTCTGTGGTTGTTGGCTGTTTCGTTGCTGGAGAACGGGGGGAGTTGAAGTATGTATGTATGTATGTATGTATGTATGTATGTATGTATAGGAAAGACAAAAGATGGTGAGAGTTGAAATAAAAAAGACACAGAAGCTTGGTAGGGTAGATATAATGTTGTTGAAGGTCCTGTCTTTTGATCTCGACTCTTTGGCGGTAGATTGATAAGGTTTAGGGTAGACAGAGCCCTGGGCGCTCTGAGCAAGCATTTGACACTGATGAGAAGGTCATGGAACCAACCAATAAATAATAGATTAGACAGAGCTGGCACACTTGCTATTCTATGTGTAATAATGGAGTATGGGGATGGATAGAGAAGAAAGAGAAAGGGGAGAGGGGGACGGACCATCATCGACATGATCACTTTGCCTGACTAACTACGGAGTAACCATCCAGCGATGGAGAAGAATATGATAAATTGCTTGTGGGGTTGGGGTAGTCTACTCGTACACCACTTACACTTATTACTCTGTACACATGCTTTGCTTGTATTATGTTCACTAGTCCAGAGCAGGGAAAGTTATAGATGCTGCCTTTTTTGAAACAAGCAGCATGGATGGGGTGGGTGAGGGGGGAGGGCATGTTTGAGACAGGGGACAGACAGAGTTGCAAAAAAAAAAAAAAAAAAAGAAGAGAAAAAAGAGCCCCCTGTCCCTGGGGACAAACCTTGGAAGAAGTTCGCTCGATCTATTCAGGGGTTAAAAGTGTACGGAGGAAGTATGGATGGTTTGGGCCCTGATCATTCATTATCCTTTTTTCATACCCTTCGACCGTGGGAACATTCTTTTTTTACATCAGTCCGGACGGGGTAGCTTCAAGAGGATATTCCTTGTTTTTGGCCATGTGCTCTCTCTAGCTTGGCATCGTGTCTTTGCATCGTGTCTTTGCATCTTTCTAGGTTCCCGCTCATTGTTCGCATAAAAACAACATCGACAAACCGTGACAAAAAAAAAAAAAAAAAAAAAAAAAAAAAAAGTTCACTTAAACCTATATAAAATTTCAAACGATCAGAAGATTTTTTCACTAGCGCTGTCTGAGCCCAACAACTCAGTCCTGACACAGCCCAAGCACCAAGCAGCAGCAGCAGCAGCCGCCAAGGAGCGGAGAAACCCCGGCCCTCTCTCCCCCAATAATAGATAACTACAGAGTAAGTACGGAGTATGTATGGTGGTTAGGCTCGCCCTGATCCTGACAAGGGTCCACGCCCAGCCCACCCGCCCGCCAAACATGCTGGCTGGGGTTCAAGTGGTCAAATTGGCGAGCAGCTTGGCCAGCTTGGCCTGCTTGGCCTGCTTGGCCTGCTTAGGGGGGACTGGGGAGGGGGACGAGAATGCCCCGGCGAGACGCACGTCATCATCGTCATTAATATTAGTCTTACGAGTGAGTTACAGACGGGCGGGCCGGGGAGGAGATTTTCTTTTGGTTGTTTTTTGTTTTGTTTTTTTTGTTTTTTTTTCCTTTTTCTTTTTCTTTTTATTTTTTTATTTTTTATTTTTCTTTTTTGACGACCAACAGCCCCACCGAGTTGTCTGGCGCTGTATGGCTGTATGGGCTGTATGGCTGTTATGTGTGGCTGGGTGTGGGCTTGTGACTGGCTCAGGCTGGCCGAGAAGTGGAGACCAGAGGGGGTTGTTTATTACCACTACGGAGTTACTGCAGCAGCACACAACAGACAGGACTTGTGCATGGTTGGCGAGGATGATAGATACATAATACGATGATAATACGGCCTGGATCAGCCGCCAGGGTTTTTCTTTCTTTTTTTTTTTTTTCTTTTTGCCTGCAGCTAGTTGGCTAGCGTCAGCTCCCCTTCTTATTTACAAATGAAAAATACGCAGAACCCTTGTTCGCTTGTTCCCTTGTCCCTTGGCCCTTGCCCGCTTTGGGTGCCTGCCTGTTTGTGTCTGTCTGTCTGTGAATATATTATTATTAGTTATATGTATGGAGTCGTTGCTATTAAGTTCCTTTTTTTTAAAAAAAAAATATATATATATTAAAATTCTTTCTTTTTTTCACTGACACATAGTTGTTGTTGAGTGGTTATATATGGTCTGTCTGTGTGCTTGTTCTGAGCAGTCTTAAATCCATGCCACACCCCTTCTCTTTGTCTTGACTATTTTATTTATTCTTCATTCTTCTTCTTCTTTAATGATCACTCCATATAACTCTGCTTCTACTCTGTACTCTCCTTATATCTCTATCTATCCTTCTTTCTACTCCCTTCTTCCCGTCGGTTTCCAGCTTCCCTCGACTGCTCGCTCTCCTCTTCCTGGTCTCCTCTCCCGGTTCTTGCCGCCTTCTGCCCTCCCAACACGGTCCCACTCCGCCCCGCCGCAACCAGAGATCCCTTCGTTGCACCTTAAAACCAAACAAAACCTTCGACCAGCATCCGTGCATCACATCATCCATCTCTCCTCAATCATCATCGTCATCTTCCCGGCCCGTGACTCACGCCATCAGCCCTTTAAATCACGTTCTTCCGTCGTGTCTGTCCTTCGAATCTAATACCTACCACCTGAACCTGCTATTCGAAACGTCTTATCACATCTCCCTCTCTCTCTCTCTCCATATATATTTATACATATATATATATATATATATATATATATATACCAGCATACAACAAACTCTAGCCATAGTGAACGAACAAAAGTAGCCTGCCTCTGGCTCGCAATTCGACGCTTCACTGCAACATCTCACAATGGCAACTGCCTGGTCACTAGACTTCTGTCTGGTCTGCGATAGACAGACGCTGGGAGGGGCATACTGCTCCCAGGCTTGTCGATTAGCAGAGATGGACGGCTGTGCCACCACAGCGGCGGATTCAGAACCTTCGTCCCCCACCACCACTACACCAGTAGCGAGTCCCTGGACCGCTCAAGGATATCAACATCAACATCAACATCAACAGCCATCAGCTCTATATCTCGGTCCCGCCATTGACTTCAGCGGTTACAAGTTCCCCGGTTCTTCTTCTTCTTCTTCTTCTTCTTCTTCGACTCCATCCATGCCATCTGCTTCCCGACAACGTCTCTCGCCCTCCTCCTCACAAACCTCCCTCTCCTCCCTCCACAGCGTCTCCTCGAATTCCTCCTCCCTGTCCGGTCAAGCGAGAAGTGAATTGGAAAACTACTCTGGTAGTTTCGACAAAGTCCGAGACTGGAAACGACGACGAACAGCTTCGTGATGGTTCCTTACCATACGGAGCAACAATTACGACCCAACCCAACCCTCCCCTCCCCTCTCTCTGTTACAAGAACGGCATTACTTTCGAACCAATGTCGTTTAACTCGATTATACATGACCACTTTTCCCTTTTCCTAAAAAATATACATTATATATATATATGCCACCACCACATCTACGAACTTTCTGGGTCTGCGGAGTCAAAAAAACCTTTGAGGGGTGTCGGTTGAGCATGAAAACACTACCACGAAACCAAAACTTGGATGGAAACTCTTTTCTCTGCGTCGGAAGCATATTTTGCAGCATTTTGAACTGGCGTTTTTTTTTTTTCGCTATTATTTACCCACCAAAACAAAGAGTGACAAAACTATATATACCCCACAAAGCGAACAACCTAAAAAAAAAGCGTCCATGAAAATATATTCGAGAGTGATTGAGGGAAGGAAAGGGAAACAAGAAGAAACCACCGAAGACTTTGCCTTTCCATCCGACATCTCTGCACTTGAACAAAAATATATTTAAAAAAAGAAGAAGAAAGAAAGAAAGAAACATCCCAATATGACTCTTTTCCACTCATGCTACACACAGCTGAACATACATTATGCACATGTCTCCTTTCCTTTTGTTCCTTTTTTATCAGCTTCCTCTTAACTTTCTTTTCTTGCCTTGTCTTTTTATACATCACTATACTATACTATCCTATCCTATCCTATCCTCTCTTCTTTGCATCCTATTTCCTTTTTCCCTTTTCCTATTTTTTTAACTTGACGTTTGAAAAGATCAAAAATATCATTCGCATTGTTTTTTTTTTTTTTTTTTTTTTTTTTTTTTTTTTTTTTTTTTTTTTTTTTTTTTTTTCCATTTTCATACATCACATCACATCGCGCGGGTTGGGCACACAGACGCATACACACAAAAGAAGGTTTTGACAGAAATGAATAGAAGAAGCCAAGAGAAAAATGAGAAATCACATTATTTCATATATATATTAAGTGTTCATCAACTGATGAAACAGACATAGTGATACAATGCTATAAAACAGATGGAATGAAAATGAATGAGTTTTACATACACTAATTAATCATGTTAAGCTCATCTCACTGCAATGATACTATCACTACGATATTAATATTAAGCGTCAAAAAATTCATCATTATTTAATATTATATATCTCTCTATAATATACAAATTATTTTACATATACTCACTCAGTTAAAAGCTGTAAAATCTGTTATAGATTGAAATATGTGATCAATCTGAGTCATGCCGGCCTCGTTACGTCATCAAGGGGGATTGCTCGTATGTTGTTAGAAACCTACGTTTTTTCTACCGGGCCACAAACTACGTCCCCGTCCAGTCCGGTCCAGTCCGAGACGAGTACGCCATATATATATATATATAAAAGAAAAAAAGAAAACCCCATTGCAAGGAAATCTGGCGCGGGTGTCGCGGATGTGAGTGAGTACATGACATGTACTGTACATTATTACATACATGCAATAATATAATAGCCGGGTTTATGCAGGTACCGTAGGGGAAGGGGATGTAAGGAAGGAAGTTATGTAAGGCTGTCTGGTAACTATGAATTGAATTTTGAGTTGATATAACAGTGTATATTCTCCGCCGTGGGGGGGAAAGGAAAGGGTTGGTTATTATTTTATCTATGTAATTAAATTATTGTGCCCCATGCCATGCCATTATTGCCATGCACATTACTCTCACTATGGTATGGTATGTTATGGAGGAGTTACGACTTATTGCGAGTCTCAGATTTCTATTTTATTTTATTTTATTTTATTTTTTACTTTAGTTTACTTTTCGCTTTATTTACTTTTTTATGCCAGTTGCGCCACGCGTTCCCCGCCCACCACCTCCTCCCCGCGCCGGAAAAAAAATTAATTTTTTTTTTTTTTATCATACCCATCACACGGACAACCACAACCATCATCGAGCAAAGAGAAGAGATTCCATCCATCCCGGCAGTGACGCATGACGTATGTGGCTTCCAATGATCTGATCGGACCCGCTAACTGAACTAACTTACTTGCTTCCTGGCGAGATGACAGGCGAGAGGCGAAAAAAATAGACAAAAAATCTCGACACATTGGGCTGAGGGATCGTATGATCGAGTATGATCGAGTCCGGGCCGATGATAGTTTTACAAGCCGTCTAGCAGATAAATAAATAGATAATTGTTGTTGCCAAGTGCAGAAAACTATAATGCAAAAAAAAAAAAAAAAAAAAAAGAAAAGAAAAAAAAGAAAAAAAAAAGAAAAACAAAAAAGAAAAAAGAAAAAGAAAAAAATAAATAAAAAATCACGTAGAATGCAAAACACAGAACACGGAAAGGTATCCGGAAAACAGCAGCAGCAGCAGTAGTCATAAATAAAAGCAATACCCCTACTCCCAGTTATCTCCTCTCCTGCGCCCAAAACTCCTATTGGAAACTCCGTATCTCAATCCATCTATCAATACCCCAATCTCCGAATCCCCGAATCAATCAACCCTTCTCATCCCATTGCCAAATCCGTCTGACTCTTCCTAGCCAGCTTCAGCTTCAACTTCTGTTTCTCCGCCCACTCGCGGCTAGCCAACCGACCCCGCTCCGCCGCTTCAGTCCGGGCTCGCTTCGCTGCCTCCTCCTTCTCTCGCCGCTCGCGGTCCCGTTCGATTTCGTGGATCCGATCTCGCGCAAATATCTCTTTCCCACGCGACCTTTGCACGGATAGTGTGCCATCTATCATTTTCTGGGTCGAGGTCGAGGTGGTAGTAGTGGTTGGGGTGGTTAGGTTGTTGTTGTTATTGTTGTTGGAAGATGAAGATACTGGCGAGGTCTCGCTGGGGTTGGGGTTGTCTTGGTCCCTGGGGGGTGGTCTGTTGGAGTCTAAATCTTTGTGTCTAGTGTTGAGCTTCGCAAGGCGTGCTGGGGTAGCCGGGGTGTCCGTTGTGTCTGGTTGTGTGTGACTGGACGCGGCGTTCCTTGTCACAGCACTGCGCAAGGAGCTGGTTCTGGTAGACGCCAGCGCACTGGACCTCCGTGACTGAAGTGATGCGGACCTTCTGGGGTTTTTAGCTAGGGTGTTTATGTTTTGTTGCGCTTCCTCTGCATTGAGCGTCGCGCGACTCCGGCTTGCAACTGTTTCCTTCACAGGCAAGGACGGTGTAGAGTAGTTTCGCAACGCCCTCGCCTTAAACTCTCGCCTTCGCTGTAGCTCTTCCTCTTCCCGCTTCAGGCGCTCTTCACGTTGCGCTTTCTGGCGCCTTGATATGGCCTCCCCTGGCAATTCAAATGTTGGGCGTGTGGGCGGTTTGGTAGATTTAGATGGTGTAAATCCAGGTTTTAATATACTATTGATGGCGGTGGAATTGGGGCGGGCCTTAGTTGTCCGAGATGTCAGTGTTGGCATGGTATCCGAAGATAAGTTGGGATGGCTGCTTTTCCTGGATATGGTTGCACGAATAGGACCTGGTCTAGAATCGGTTGATGCTGAACGGGCGGGTTTGCTGACAGGCCGATCAGAGTTCTTCGTTGAAAGCGCGGCAGCGACGGATGATTGCCTAGTTTTCATAGACAGTGAAGGACGTTGAGAGAGCTTTGCTTCTCTAGGTCGCGACCTCTGTTCATCCTCGCTGCGTTGGTGCTGGATTGCTGCATTGGGCTTCTTGGAAGCTATGCTTGTATTGTTTTTTCGTGACGAACGGATTCCATCAGCTGGAGTGCCTGCTCTCAGAGGAGAGTCGAGCCCGTGCTCTTCCACGACAGGCAGGGCCTGTCCAATCTGTTCAAGGGCATCTTCAAGGGCATCTATGGCATCCAAGGGGTCTACGATATCCTGGTAATTTCTAGCTTGAGCATGAGACGTGGATGACACGGATCGTGTCTCAGGATTGGCCCATTTGTCATTGCTGTTTGATTTGAAAGCTGGACGTATAGATTGCAGGAAGGAATCTTCGTCTTCGTCAGCTAATTCCTCCTTTACCGGACTTTTATGCAATTCCGGATCGAATCGTGGAGTCTGGGTAATCTGCGATGGAACTAGCTGTAGAGGCTGCGATTTAGGGGAAACTTGTTCCTCTATGACCTGGGACATTGGATCTGGGGTTATTATATCTGTTGAAGACATATGTTAGTATGTTTAATCTAACATCCCCAATCGTCAAAGAAACCAAAAACATAAGAAAGGGACATAGGAACCAACAAAACTCAAGTTTACCCGCCTTTTTGTCCTCGTTGACTATCCACCGTGCGGTTGTTACCAGTCCGAGTAGGCGGGGTTTGCTCGCCGTGTCTATCAACGTCACCCAACAATGTATTCCCAAATACCTTTATCCCAAGTTCTTCCGGGTTTATTAGGTCCCTTATACTTCGAGATCTTTTTAACTGTATACCTGTTACTCTTCTTGTCGGGTTATTTCTGGTAATCTCCTCTTTTTCCCGTTTTGACTTTGAAGCGATCGAAATGTTCTCAGGCGAGATTTGAGTATGGTCGTGGTTACCAGTTGTTTCTTCAAGAGCTCTCCGTGTACTGGGAAATGTTGATGTACTATTCGAAGCTTCAATTAACGACGTATGGGGTGGATTTATAGGGTCCTTTATATCATGAGTGTTGTTGCGGCGCGAGACAGCGCGTGTGACGCGAGGCATTATAGAGCTAGATTGTATTCTGGAAGGGTTGAGCTAGATCGGTGAAGGACAGATCTAGGATTAGGACCAATTCACGGTGTATATCTCCCAGTCGCGATTGTGTTTGATTGATCTAGTAAGGCGTGTGTGTTGGACAGTGGATCAGCCCGTTTGTGTAACCCGCAATCACTGATTAACAAGAGGTTACGCAAATAATTCCCGTAGCTTTTATGTCAATTGAAGGTTGGCTATGAGGAGACAGGACGACTTGTGGAAGGAGATTCAATGTGTGTTGGAGATTTCAACAGGATTAGGGGGAGTTGGTTGCGGGCTTGGGTTGTTGTTGATACGGCAACCGCGGTTAGTGTGGCGCGGCGGTGTATGCGACCCGCACTAGCGCAAAGTTTAAATAAAGGTATCTCGTTCTCGAACTCAGCTAGGAGGACTGAAACCACCCCCCGCCTTATGATATTTATGTGACAGAGGCCGCGGGGGGATAAATAGCCATGATTGTCTTAAGTCGCACTATTTTTTCATTGCTTATCGCGGACTTCCGCAGCGGTATTCCGTTTGCACAGAATAGATATGGAAAACCTTTTCAATTGCCCTGGCTACCTTATACCAATTTACCTCTTCATTTTAAATTATGTCTATCTAGATCAAACGCCTATATATGACCTGTGTATGCCGAAAGAACAGGAAATATTGTACAAGGGTATAAAAATGCAAGTCATCACTGTATTTCATCAACTGTACTCATGCTTTGGCTGGGTGATCCTCTCCTGTTGTTCGCGATGTGCCCGACTGCTCAGCGGGGATCCGAACCAGTGTCGAGGGCAGCGGGGGCGTGTTTTGTTCGTCTTTCTCGGTTTCCTTCGCATCGTGATCGCGTTCACTTGCAGCTGCTACCTTGGCTAAATATCCACAATTGGCCTCTGCATATTCTGTATCAATGTATGTTTGAGTGGACTCACTGGATGCCATGCTGATTGCACTAAGGACATTGCCCCAATTTGCCATAACGCATGCGACAGCTAATCGACATCAGATGGTTAGCGCTTTTGCATGTGCCAAAAAGCTTTCAGCATTCAAGAGGCGAATTGGTTTGAAAACCATGTATGCGTGGAACCAACCTTCAGTCCCGTCCTTCAGGGTACTCAACTTCTCCTCCAATGCCTCCATTTGCGAGGCCAACGCGCCGCTCACATCGCGGAGTTGTCTAAGGTTTTCAAGTTCGAGTCTTTTGGACGCTATTCGGGCTGCGAGAGGCGACGATTGCTGGGAGGAAAGAGGGTGTATGGAAGACTGTCGAAGAGAGGAGGAAGTCCCCGTGGAGGAGAACACTGCTGTTGGCCTGGACATCGTCTATAGCATGCATGCTATTTAGAAACAATGTCACCAGACCGGTGTGCTGCAACTAGATAATAAAATCAATGGAATGACGTTTGGAAGAACGACGCGATAAAGGATAAGCGATATCAGCACGTGACCATATGCCAGGCACGTGTTTTAGCTTCAACGCTCGTCGGAGCAACCAAGCTAACCGCTTCCGGTCAAATGTCAACAAAGCGGGCTCCTTGTTGTTTTGTGCCATCGCAACAACCGTCGGAAATCTATCCAACATTTTTCCAACGACCTCTAGCTACATAGAAGTCGAAACCAACGACAGGACTCTGGGAGAAGAACTTCACAAAGCTTATTATTATCTGTTTAACTAACAAGACCTTATAATTAATGTCCCAACCATCTTCCTGTTCCACCCCTGTCATACCAGTTTTGACTCGACGATTGACCCTTTGTAGCTTGCCGCTATGGCGAGGTTGAATGATATCCCCGTTGCTGCGGAATCAGTCGAATCTTGTATGCTGAATTTCCTAGGTTAATGTGCACCCAGAGAGCCTCTGCTAACTTGGGATCCTTTGCTAGTAAAACGTCGGTTCATACGGCAAAATCGCGAAATTGCGCGTGCGAACTCTATGCAATCTCTCCGTATACGCACTCTAGAATCCGAAGTCTCTCGCCTTCTTACGGAAAATGCTTCCCTTCGTGAGGAGGTCATCGCTACAAATCAAGAACTTGAAAAGTTCAAGCATGATGGACAATTGGGTTGTGAAATCGATAACCTAAAATCGAAACTGGATGCAAAGCTGGCTGAATTTGGAAGCTTGATTGCAGACTTGGGCTCATTACCTCAGAGAAGAGGTCTGGCTGGGAAGTCACGGCAAAGATCCATTGGTGGAGAATTCCAAATTTCTCCGGAAGCGGCTCGTCGGAGATCTCTAATGAAGGCTGCTCGACAGGTGACGGATGAGGGTCGGCTTCCCGCTATTGTGGAAGACAAATTTTACCCCAGATTAACGCTAGAGTAAGGATTTACTATGTTATTGACACTTTCTTTTGGTATGGTTATGCTAATACAATGTGCAGAAATGAGGATTTTGCCGATCTAGCAGGCAGTGAGGGAGGAGAAAACGATTCGCCTGAGATAATTTCCACGCCAGTTCTAACAATCCCGAACACGGTGGACTCCTCCGCAGATGAAGAGCCTGCAATGATTTTTGGAGCCAACGAAAATATAATTCAGCCCTCACCGTCCATTTCGAACTTGGGGGCAAGGAGAAGGAAGAGGGATAGTTCGTTGCTAAATCGTACGCCCCGGAGCAAAGCAATGGAAAGCAAGGAGCAAGAATTTGTGCCGATACATATTTCAAAATCTGGATCCAAACGCAAGCTTAGTGTACGGGATGACGACGAAGACTTGATGTCACAAGACTTAAATGACCATGACGATTTCCAATACACTCGATTAGCCGGGTTATCTACCTATACCTCAAGAAATCCCGACGTAGAGCCTGAAGGGACACCAACAAAAGTCAACGCGGACAAGGCAGAAAGCCAGCGAGTGGAAAGAACTACTGTTCGGCCTGCCCTAGGGCCTAGTATGTACCATCTCTGCCCTCTGTTTCTAGAATTTGACTAATGCGTTGATTCATAGAAAGTACAAATATCAAGCAAAGATCCTCCTCGCCTACCAAAAAGAATCCAGGCGCTGGGGGTTGGGAAAAGGAGATCCCAAAGCCTAACCCTAAACCACCAAAGAATAGAAGCCACAATGCCATTGACAAATCAATGCGAACAGTTCACGTTCCTACTACTGAGCAAACGAAACAGGGCGTTGTGGATATTGATCTAGCGCAGGAACGGGGCCCTGTCGAGGAAAACAGGGACACTGAACAGGCTTCAACATACACTTTGGAAACTCTTCGAGAAGCCAGAGATACGCCACCCTTACCCACGGCTGGGACGACCCGTCCACCCCGCAGATCCCGAGGTTCTATAAGCTACGCGGAGCCAAATCTTAGGGATAAAATGCGGCGACCTACCAAGGAACTTGTAGATGCTGTTAGCGGTGATGTTCGCTTCAGACGATCCTCGAAGTCTCATCTCGACATGGCCAAGGCAAGGTGCAGTGAAGAAAGCAGCCATAATTTCGACGTATCTTCAATGGCCTATAATGACTCATGCGCGACTTCTCTAGAAGGGAAAGATCAAAATTTGATGACGGAGTTGCCCTCTAATGTCACGGCCGACAGGAAACGCCGGACACTCTCCATAACTAAATTCGATTTTGTAACTGTTCCAGCAACGGGCCAGTCGACGTCAAGTGTGGCTATATCAACTCTTATGGCAGGAAGTAAAAGGCGAAGTCATCGAGAAAGAGACACTGCTGAAAGCTCCGTCGACTATGAACAAGGTGTTGGTGCTGGTAATGGTTCCACTCGTTCTTCTCGAAGACACTCCTCCAATCCGACTACAGGTGGAACAAACTCAAGGTCACGTAGAAGCAAAAGTTCTGCTCTCCTTGCAAAGGAAAACGCCGTGAATGTCCAGGCTGTCTTGGAATCGGCAAGGCTCAATGTGAATAGCAAACTGGGTAACGATTACCACCAGCATGCTTCTTCCTCTTCGATCTCTTCGTCCAATCCAAGAGCCACAAAGGTCGTTTCGGAATTCGACTATGACGCTTTTCTTGAAGCGCAGGAAGACGCGTCTGAGGTTAGGAGGGTGCAGCGACTGGCCACATCGAGGCGGCGGAGTATGATGTTGTGAAGCGTACTGTTACATGACGATTATATAGGATTCCTTTTTGATTTCTTCTCTATTTGGGGAAGGGGAAGGCAGTTCGGGGACGGGCCTTTTTCTGTTGGTTTTTGTTCCTATAGAGTTTATAATACCCATTACAGCCAGCCTTGTACTGTTCATTTTGTTAATTGAATCTTTTTAAGTATTTCTCCCCCTTTTCCTTCGCCTTTTTCATGAGCACCTCTCCCTTGAAAGTTGGAAGGGGAGGTCAAGGCAAAAATGGAAAAGTAGGTGAATCCCGATAAGAAATTGTTTGTCGGGAACGAGCACGCAAGAACCATCCAACGTGTCATTATGCCAGAGGAAAAAGAAAGAGAATCATTGACGAGTTCTGCCTTTCATCAGACTGGCATAGATATTGGTATTTTCAACAGACTCTATGTATTACCTATGTGCTGTGTCATGCGCTTGCGCCTTGGTAACACCAAGGAAGGTCTTTTTCTATGAACAAAAACCTCAAAGACGAATGGAAAGGGCGGGGAGACGAGGAGATATTTGCTCCCAGTCAAAATCGCAAAAACGCCATTTTCCCAATGCTTGTTGCTTGTATGCCTGCATGTGCGCGTGATCGCCCGCCCAAAATATCCTCAACGCATATCGTAATTCATTCCGGAAAAAGAATAAAGAGATGTGAAAGCCCAGACGGATCCACTGGTCAATCGTGGTGGGGCGGATAAGAAGAATATGTGACTGGTCGGTGGATAGGAGGCTATTTATTAATCTATCTTCTTAGAGTATAACCCCCCCCCCCCACCCCAAATCCTTATCGCTTAGCTCTCTGGCCCTCCCTTCAGTTGGCGGCCATTATTCATTCTTTTTTCTTAGAGCTACTCTTCGGCATGCGCTCATACGCATTTGGTCGTGGGCGACGACGCTGACGATGTATCCGTATCCGCCTGCGCTTGCTCGCATCACCACTACCGCTATCGCAACAGCTGTCGCTGCCGCTTCCTCCATCGCCGTCGTCACCTCCTTTCTGTTCTGCAGGCCCGTCGTGCTGAGAGTTGCTGTGATTATGGCACTTGTACCGGTGACGATGCATGCGGTTAGCAGGAACACGGCCGTTGGCCATTCTGGCTTCGCCGGTGTCGACGTCGCTGTCACTGTCGCTGGAGTCTGAAGAGGAGTCTGACGAGGATTCGGAGCTGCTTTCGCCTACGGGGCGGGCTTTGTGGAAGATGCAGCAGACTTGATAGAGAAGTTAGCGACTTGTTTGGCTGGGTTCAACAACAAGGGGAGGGAAGCTAGGGATTGAAACGATGGGCGTGTGGGTTATGCAGGGAAATTCATTTGTAGAGAGGCAAAGAACTAGAGTGGATAGAAGATATGCGGTTGGAAAATAGCTCGAAGAATAGAAAATCCGTCCGTTCTTAAGGGCTTGTTTTCCTCTTGTAAAAAAAAAAAAGAAAGAAAGAAAATGGCGCCGTTTGCAACACGGGGAAAGCGAACAATTGTGATTTTATTTTACATACCCTTTGAACTCTTCCTCCCCAGCTCCTCATTGTCAACCACATCCTCCGCCCAGCGTATACCCCTCCTACTAGCCTGACCCGTCCCCGTCTCCGATTCTGTTTCCACCTCCGTGTTCGCCTCAGCCCTTAACCTCAGCCGACCTGTTATCCGACCCTGTTGGTGTCGGACTGTCGTCTCCACCTGCGCCATTGTGCCGGGGCTATTGGTTCCTCCAGTCTGGAGTCTTTGTGTCATTGCGCCTCTGTCCCTGGACATTGTGTGGCCCCCGATTTCTTCAGTGACTCCTTTGCGATTTGCCTCCTACTTGAGAGGGGCGAACAAGTGTTAGATTGGTGATTGGAGAAGGTTGGGAGAGCGGGCGCGTGAATCGGGATGCGAAGGGGTTTAGTTATGGCACGCTATGCTTTGGAGATGGGGTATTATCTCGTAATATGTCAACAAGTTGGTGACGCCCAATGACATAAGGAAAGCAAGCGCGGTTCGGTTCTTGTTGGCCGGATGCCCTAAATGTTGGTGATTACTACATCTACCCTAATCACGTGCCACCCAACTTATATAGTTTCACCTTAGGTAGATTACATATATATAACAATGTTATCCTCTAACAGGTTATAAGGCCCTCTTTTTTTATAACTGCTGATAACACATCAACTACATCTTCACATATTATTAAATATATCTAGATGTCTCTTTGAATCTATAATTAATTTGAGATTCAGTAAAATAACAGATTTAATAAAGAAATACATATCAGTGTAAAGAAAATAAAATCTAAAAGTACTGAAAGTGTAATAAGAAATAGTAAATAACTTTAATAAAGATTTTACAGATCTGATTATCTCATATATTATCAGAATGTTAAATTAAGAGAATGATCTCTGTAATTCAACTTCTTTCAGTGAAATGAATTATATGAAAATGAAAATACTGAGACTTTAACAGAAAATTAAATAAATGAAAACTAGTAAAGTGAGTAAGACTCTGACTGATACTGATAACACTGTCAGTACAGATCTGATACAGTTTCTATAGAAATAAGAAAGACTATCTACTCTAATGAAAGTTTTGAAAGAATTTCAGAATCAGATTAAATATATTAGAAAATCAGTTACTCTTACAGACTCTGAGAACTATTCAATATAAAAGAAAGAAATCTTACTCATTACAAAGTAGTTTCATACAATTGATATTATTAATAAGAAGTAAATTAACTCTATGAAGAATAGAAGCACTAATATGCATTAATTTTGAGAAGAATATAATATATAGCTATATAACTATATATAATCTATAATTACTTCACAGACAAAGTTTTATTTTATAGTATTAAAGAAATCTGAGCTATCTGTCTACACTCTGTAAAAGATTATAGAGAAGAATTTTATTAAACAGTCTATTATTAGAAGAATAAGACTGTATAAAGAAATTATAACTCTGTTTACTAAGACTAAGAACTCTAATCAGATCTTTATTAAACACTTAATTACTATATAAACTGAATATATATATTTAGAGTTTAAGACTAAGAACTACATATTTTTTAACTGTCTGCTTACTGAAGTGAGTGAGATATAAGTATCATTTATTAGAAACTGAATAAATTAAATTAATAAGAATAATAGTCAGTCTCTTAAAACTGACTTTATAAGTCTTTATTAAGATATTCTGCTACATCTCTCTGCAATGAAAGAAGTTCTGAAGAATGTGATAATAAATATAACTGATAATATAAAAAACAACAATAAGAGTACAGATTTCAAATCAGAATATAGAGAAAGTATACTGAGAATCTACTATCACTGTGACAGAGTTAATCATATTTAGAATAACTGCTGAAAGAAATATCTGAAGAAATATTCTATCAATCTCAATACTCTCAGAAAGAATAAGAATAACAATAATAGTAATACTGAAACTGATTCTATTCACAGTGTTATAAAATAAATATTCTGCTTAAGAAATAAGATTTCTTCAGATAATAACTTAATAAAAGATACTTGAATATTGAACTCTGAATCAGATACTTATACTACATCTTATAGAGATCTTATTATAAGAGAAAAGAAGAATGTTAAAATATTATTGATAATAATTGTGACAGGCTGCGCCCGATCAATCATATAGACTATTCCGTTACACTTCACAGATTCCAACTGCTTCATTCTTGAACGCGTACGCTCCGATCCGCGGCCATTCTTGATCACCGATCCTCGGCCGCCACGAACGCGTACGCTCCGATTCTCGGCCATTCTCGATCGCCGATCCTCGGCCACCACGAACATATATAGATTCTTCCACCCCGAAGCTCCACTGTGTACACCTAGACTGGCCGCCGGGATCATGAATTTCACGTTTGATCCCATTTGGTCTGATTCCATACATTTCTTGGCATGAATCTCACTGGGACTAATCATTAAATAAACATGTAAAGTGACTATATATCAGATCTTAAAATGAAATCATGATTTGAAAAAAATGAGAAAGTGATCTCATTTGATCTCATTTAGTCTCATTCTTAGTATAAAGTTACTATTTTTAGACATTTTAAGGTTTTTTTTAGACTATTTTTAATTTTTTAAAAAGTAATGCTTTTTAATAATGCTTAAATAAGATTTAAAGTCATTTAAAGTAATAAAAATAATTTAAATTGAGAAGTGAAAATCATAGTCTCATTTGAAAAATGTGATAAGAGTAGACAGTAAGTCTCACTGAGACAGTATGAAACTACTATCTAATATTAGAACTGTGTAATAAGATCTGTTGAATTGACAATAAGACTATCAAAAATTCTGGTTCTGATCTCAGACACAGTCACACGGTCAGTCTATGTACATTATTATATATGTGTATAAATATTCACTTCAATTACTAATTCTCACACTTTCTCTTTCTTTTCCTTCTCTAATGTTTTTATCTTTATTATATAAGATCTATATATTATACTGATCTATTTAGTGTAGATCTCTTATATTATAAAAATATTCATCATCTTCTTATTAGAAATGATTATTCATATATCATCTTCTTATTAGAAATAATTATTCATTGAGAGATATTTAAATGTGTAACAATGTGTAAGAAATAGAGAAATAGTTAAATAGTTAAGTGAACACTAAGTTCTTAGATAGAAGCTTGCTTATCAGTCACTCTGACTCTGTAATAAGATTTTATAAAGAGAGTAAGATTTTATAAGAGAATATCAGTAAAAGATCTGAGAGTTCTGACACTCAGATATATAAGAATATAATTACACTTCTTCAGATTTCACAGATATTATATATCTGATAAAATGATATAATCATGTCTAATAATAATATAAAAGAACTCTTAAGTGTGAGTATAGAGATAATATTACAGTGACTCTGAGTAATGTTGAAATTATAACAGTAATAGATAGCAGACATGTATACAAGTTCTAGACTGATCACTGAGACTATGAATTTCACATTTGATTTCATTTGGTCTGATCTCATACATTTCTTGGCGTGAATCCTGCTGGGACTGACTATCAAAAAATCATGCAAAGTGACTATATATCAGATTTTAAAATAAGATCATGACATGAAAAAAATGAGAAAGTGATCTCATTTAATTTCATTTAGTCTCATTCTTAGCATGAAGTTACTATTTTTAGACATTTTAAGGTTTTTTTAGACTATTTTTAATTTTTTAAAAAATAACACTTTTTGATAATACTTAAATGAGATTTAAAGTCATTTAAAGCAATAAAAATAATTTAAATTGAGAAGTGAAAATCATGGTCTCATTTGAAAAATGTGACAAGAGTAGACAGTAAGTTTCACTGAAACAGTATGAGACTACTATCTAATGTTAAAACCGTGTAATGGGATCAGTCAAATTGATAATGAGACTATCAAAAAATCTGGTCCTGGTCTCAGACACGGTCACACGGTCAGTCTACATACAACTTAATAACTTCAATATAAAGAGATTCAATAATTAACTCATACAATTTCAATATCTACAGAATCAAATATAAAAGCACTGAAAGAATGCTTAGATACTCTTATATATTTCAATACTTTTAATCTCACTCTCTACTTATTATGAAGAATGAAAATACTTGTAAAACTGAGTGTAGATAAAGATGTCATCAGTTTATTAACTAATCAAGATTAATATATCAATGAGTGATTAAAGAATTGTATAAAATAGAAGTTTCATTCATGAATAAAAGTATGTGAATCAGTATTGTGAACATCTGATAATATCATGAAATATCTTGATATTCTGTTTCAAGACACTGCTATGTAATAGAAAGTATTAGATTAATTACAGAGTACTTAACAGAGAAATACTTCTCTTATAACATTCATTCCTGACTTCAACACTAAGATTCTAGAAACAGGTGATCAATCTTGAGAGAATTGAATGAGAATTAACATGCTTAAGAAGACATTGACTTTTAAACTCTTACAGACTCTTGTAAGTGTAGATGAAGATCAGACTTATGAAGACTTCTACATACAGCTCTGAATATTGAATAACTGTCTTATCAAGCTCAAGAGTATACAGAACAGTGATAGAAGATATTACATCTCAGCTACTTATATACTCATACTGAAGAGAAGTAACAGTAATAATGCAGATGCTATGAACTGAATAGATTCAAATATCTATACATAAGCAAGAGTTTTCACTATTTGAACAGGCTTTCAAGTTTCTGAGATTACTTCTGAAGAAGTTACTGATCAATGTTAATATAAAGTGTGTATTAACTGTAATTAATTAGAATATATTGCTTTCAACTGCTGATTGATCTATATATCTTCACACTTAAGAGAAAGATCAGTGTCTGTCTGCATTAATCATATTATAGTGAAGAAAGATTCAAAAGATAACTATAAGAATACTCTGATGAAACAGGAAAAAGATTAGCTTCTATTCAAATTTATAAATAGAAGCTTGAAGAGATTGAACAATAACAATTTAAAGAGAAAATGATAATGAATATAATTCTTATATTTACTGTGATTGATAATATGTATAATATGAAAGTCATGATAAACAGTGATCTATGTTACTATACAATGATAAACTCTTCAGTTGTAAGATATTATAATCTTCAGTGTATCTTCTTATCAAAACTATGACTTCTTGCAGAATTTAATAGTTCAAAAGATATTTATATCTGTTACATGATAAAGCTGACTATAGATGTAAGAGAACATCAATATGAAGATGTCTATACATATAAAGTTAATAATCTTGATTACAATCTTATGTTAGAACTTGTCTGACTATCTGAATAAGATATCTTATTGAATACTTGAAATAGAAGCTTAATATTCTCTAACAATAATAGAATTTACAAAGATGATATTCACAAGATTATGAATCTCACACAGATCTCTGTTAATATGTATGAAATACTCTGAAAAAAAAGTCACTGATAGCAGAATTATATAACAATCTATTCTATCAGTCTGATCAATATTAAAAAGACTCTAGAAAAGTTATTCTGTGTTACAATAATAGATTCTTATACAAAACTTTCTCAATAATATTATGAATATCTAGATATCTTCTGATAAGATAATATTATAAATATACTTCTCTTATAAGATTCTGAAGTAAATCACAGTATCAAGTTAGAGAAGAAGAATGATAAGAACTCTGAACTGTTATAAGATTCTCTTTACAACATATTCTGAGATGAACTTCTTCTTCTTTGAAAGACACTCAATAATTTATTGAATAAAGAATTTATATATATTAGTAATTCTTTCATCACAGCTTCTATTCTCTTTATAAAGAAATCAGATAAAGAACTCTGATTCTGTGTGAACTATTAAGAACTGAATAGAATAACAAAGAAAGATCACTATCTGTGAGAGAGATTGAACATGATTGATTGTTATTGTTATCTAACTAGTAGCTAGTGAAAGCTAAATATATGTGTGTGAGTCACGTGAGTTAGAGCTTGTGTAGTAGCTTCAACACCTCTTCATGCTATACAGGCCAGTTAACTCACGCAGTCAAAAGCATTCAAATTATTCAAATATGCAATAAAAATTAATTACAAAATGTAGAGTCTAGTTTTCTCATAAGAACTAGCTTCATACATGAAAAAACATAAAAAACATGCAAGAAAAAAACACTTAAATTCATTTTTTCTGTATCTGTATTACCCCCTCAGTCATCTGAACACTGCGGGGTCTCACTTCTCATATTTTTATCATTTTATTGTTATTGTTATCGTGGTTATCATATAGGCACACTTGGTGGCCTGATTATCATGAGTTATTGTGATTATTATATAGACACACTCAGTGGTCTGATTATCATGAGTTATCATGATTATTATATAGGCACTCAGTGGCCTGGTTATTGTGAGTTATCATGATTATCATATAGGCACTCAGTGGCCTGATTATCATGAGTTATTATGGTTATCATATAGACACACTCAGTGACCTGATTATCATGAGTTATCATGGTTATCATATAGGCACACTCAGTGACCTGGTTATCATGAGTTATCATCTTTATCCTGGGTTATCATATGAGCATTCAACAGCCCGGGTATCATGATTATCATTTTAGTAGACATGCTCAACAGTGATGTATGTAGATGCTGAGCTTTCATTATTATTCTTTATTCTATTCTTTCAATCAACAGAATGCTTTTCAGAGTGTGTGAATCAGCAGTAAGACTCTTTATGATCATTCTGCTTGCAGTGAGTGCACTTCTTATTATTCTTCTTATTATTCTTATTCTTCTTAATAGTGTCTTTGACATTCTTTGTGTCATCTCTGGCATTTTTATCATTCAACAGCAGGTGGAGTAGTATATCTCTGCAGAGATCAAGAAAATCATCTTCTAGTAATGTGATATTATCATTCTTTACTGCATAGTTCATACAATCTCTGATAAAGGTTGACCACTTCTTGATAAGACTGTTGAGAAGCTTGTCAAAGAATATGAAGTTGAGAATATTAGTATATTCAAGATGAATATACTCAATGTGAATTGTAAGTAAATATTCTATGAACAAGTAGTTAAAGTCATTATAGATAGCAGTTGCACTGATATCATTAAATTTCTTAAACAGGCAGACTCTGCAGATTTTCATCTGTTCTGAAAAGAATACTGCTATGATGTTTCATAGAGCAGCAGAACTCAGAGAATCTTGAGATATAGTAAAAAGAGATTTGACTTCAATAGAAATAGAAGACTATACAAAATTATATAGTCAGAAGTTGTGTTTCTCTCAGAATTGTTTCATATTCTTAGAGACATTCTTCAAGAATTTTGTAATTGCATTCAGAAGATCTTCTGTGTGAGATTACTTGATAATAAGCAGAATCTCTTTCTTTCAAATGAGATAATCAGATATTGATTTGAGAAGACCTGGTTTTTGAAGATATTTAATGTGTTCATGAAATTCTTGGAGGACTCTGCTCAGTGCAGAAGTATTATCTTGATTTTGAAAATAAGCAGCAAGATCAGAGCTTAGATCATTGTCATCATTGACAGTAGCTATAGCAGTAGAATTGCTAGAAGCTCTTATCTAGTGTAGTTCTTCATTTATCTGAGTAATACATTGCCTCAAGACAGTAGCTTCATCAGTCATATTGTCATTATCTTGATTATTGTTATTGTGTGGTGGTTTTCTCGCGGTTATTGAGGTTGAAAAGAATTCAGATGCAGTAGTTTGATTCTCTGAAGTTTCTTCATAATTGATTGATCTTGTATTGACAGACATTTGATATGAGGTATTTGAATGAAAGAAGCAGCTATTTGAAAAGCTTATTATATGATTATTGTATAGTTATAATGCTTTGTAGAAGTGCAAGAGCTTCATAACCTGTGAGAGAGATTGAACATGATTGATTATTATTGTTATCTAACTAGTAGCTAGTGAAAGCTAAATATATGTGTGTGAGTCACGTGGGTTAGAGCTTGTGTAGTAGCTTCAACACTATCTACTATCTTTTATCAATGAAACTCTAGCTTATATTGAACAAGCTCAATGATTTATAAAACTAAATATTATCACTGTATTTTATAAGATTCATATCACTGAAGAAGATGAGTAGCTTACAGCATTCTGAACATAATATAATCTTTTCAAATGAATAGTTACTCTCTTCAGACTGACTAATATTGTGATTCAAAGATTGCTTGAGTCAGCGTATGATTACAGGCGTACGCCGGCTTCTTATATATCATACGCTAAATTAATTAGTGGCCGCTATGGCCTCTTTACACTTGTAAGCAAGTTCAGAAGTGGCTGTGTTATTATTCAACAGTTGTACATTCTTCTGAATCACATTCTTCTTCATCAGATTCAGTCACACTTATATGACTATGTTATACACTCTAGCTTCATGCAGATTAGCTCATCACTAGCATTTCACAATTATATAACTTATTTCTGATTCAGCTAGCATTCTGTGTACACTCTCACAAAGAAACTTTCACTATATTACACTTCTCATTCACTAACTTTTCTCATTCTTCAATCATCTTCTTCATCATTATCATCATTAAATGTCATTATTATCTCATTTCTACTTCTTCTTCTATTCAACTCTTTCTATCTATTCATCTATTATATTGTACATGTTTCTGGCAATAGCTCTTCATTCTTATAACAAGTGTCATTATAGTGCTCATACTGAGCAGTTCATTAGCAGTAAGTATAATACATTGTGAAATGTGATCAGAACTTGTTTATCTTCTAATAATTATCAGAATGTATTATTATGAATGACATATCTTCTTTATCTTCTTATATACTCTTGACTGTTTTTCTTCTCAGCAGATTTCTGATTGTGTTTTCTGACATAATTTTATATAAATGCAGATGCTGATATGTTTGTTTTTATTCATGTAGAATCTTTATATATTGACAGATCTGTGTCTGTTAATAATAGTGAACTCAATGTTGAATCATTGATTAAGAACTTGAAGAACATGATAATGAAGAAATTGTCTGTATTATATATAACTGAGTCTTCTGTGTCTCTCTCTGCTCTCTCTGTTTCTTTCTCTGCTGCTCTCTCTTAATCTTCTACACCTGCTTCTGCGTCTGATTCTCCCGCTCTTACTATCTCTGTTCTTATGACTCTCACTTCTGCTACTTCTACTCTCTCTGATTTTACTGTCTCTGCTTTCATTATCAGCTCTTTCTGTTTCAAGAAGATATTGCATAGACTTAATAAATCATATTTATCAGTGTGTACATTTCTGTCTTTCTTGCTGACTTCTAGAATAATTTATTATATAAAGACTGTGTATAATATAATTATCTGAAGCTCAGTTGCAGATGTTAATTATTACATTTATTTTAAATATTCATAATAAAGTAATTATTCATTTATATCAGAGAATTATCTCTCTTCTTAACAGTGTTAAAATTGTAAGTCTTTTTCTTTTCATCTTTTCTTTCTAACACTGATTTTTCTGTTCTTAGAGAAAATTATTATAAGTTTTACTGTGTATGAAGTTATGATGTTCACAGATATCAAGAAACTTTTTACAATTATTAAATTCAATATTACAGATATATCTACTCTAATGAATATCTTTAGAATAATTGACCTGTATTAATCTATTCTTTGATATTTATTATCTGACTTTGTGATACAGATAAAGAATATCTGTGTTTTCAGAAATGAAAATGTGAATATTATACTCTTTTACACTTACAGATATGAGACTTGTATATCTTGTCTGAGATGTTATTGTGAGAATAAGCTGTTTACATACTATGTTCTACTTTCTGTATTCTCTCATATCTCTCTCTCTCTTTCTGAGAAGTCTTGTGTGTGTTGTAATTATATGTATAACTCTAAGATCAGCAGGTATTCATTTAGTAACTGTTTTCATCTCTGATTTTGGAGTTTTTATACACTAATAATGATTCTTAGTTACTTCAGTGTCAGAGATCATTTTAATCAAAGATGATAACACTGTTGAGACTACTCTCTCTCATTTTCAAGCTTCTTCTGTCACTTTCTCTTCCTTCTCTGCAGAGAAGATTGTGTGTATATCAGATTATAAGTATTCAGCTCTGAGTGACTTCTGCTGTTATTTATCTGATTCTGTGTCTCTCTCTTTCATTTCTTCTATCTTTATTTTCTCTGCTCTGACTTCTGATTTTGCAGATTCTGTGCTCTTCTTCAATTTTTCTATGTATACACATACATATTTCTATATTGACATTTCAGTCAATCTTGTGATAAATGACATTAATGTTATACACAGAGCAGTAGAGAAATCAGAGACATGCACAGTGTTATTATAAGAGCAGCTTACAGCTCTTGAATTTCTTACAGATCTTGAGTTTTGAGATTTTCATTGTTTTTAATGTTTTTCAGATGATATAACATTGAAAATAGATTTAAATGTGTGATATATAAAAATGAATGAGATATATATAATAACATTTGTCTTTTACAGTTAACTCTTACAGTTGATAATCAATTTATTATCTCTTTTCTTTTCTTACACTTTTTCTTTATCTGTTAGTCACTACTCTTATACAATCTCTATATAATACAGTATTCAGTAACTAGATTCAGCAGCTTTTATCTTTTATAATTCTGTCTCATATATTATACTGTCTCTCTTCACTTACTCAGATCACTATAGTGAACAGCTCATTGAAACTAATCTCATTCAATCTCTGAGTATTCTCAGAAATTGAGATGACTTGATCTTACATATCTGCAGATGTTTCAGATAGTTCATTCTCTGTAATCTCTATAATTGAACTGATATAAACAGTTAAATTCAACTCTGAATTTCTTTTTCTTCAGTAATCTGACTTATATACAAGTCTGTCACTTTGAGATCACTCTTTACTGTGTTATATTCACTGTCTATAGTATGTTATTATATAACTGACTACAGTCTTATCACTTATTAAAGTGTAACATTCATCTGATTTCTTCATTACTTTTCATTCTTTTCTTATAATTGTGAAAAGATTGAAATAAGTGAGATTATCTGATTTGTAAGTATCTATGATTTCTCTTACTTTGTAAGACTTTTCAATTATAAGTCTTTTCTTTTTTAATACTGATAATAGTGCTGTAGATAATTATAATTCACTTAAGTCTTATATCTTTACTTTTATAAGTCATGAATTATTTATTAAGTTGTGTAAGATCTGTCTTTCTGATTCTTTCAATGTGTATGTTCTCAGAGAATGTGATTTGAGTATCTTATATAGCACAAATTATCTAGATTGAAACTTCTCAGAACTCTCATTATATATAAGAACTCATATTTCTATCTTGAGACTTAATTTCTTAACTAGTGAGTCTCATATTCTTTTCAATTGAATTACTCAGTTTAGAAGTAACTTGTTAGCTTTTACACATGTGTGACTGATCTTTTTCAATCTTGATTCTGTGTTCATAACTGTTATATTTGTGACTGTTGCATTCACAACTGCTGTTTTCTCTCTCATCTTTTTCAAAGCATTCTCTGGGATGCGCGGATGCAATTTATATAACAGATAGAATGATGAACACTTGAAGACTGCATACTGCTGAATTCATGTGACTAATAGCACCTGACTGAGATATTCATCTCATAATCTTATAGACTTACTCACTAGATATTTTATTAGTATGTTGCTCAAGATTTCATTTAAGTATTTCATCTTTCTATTTATCTGCAGATGATATAACATTGTTCTATAATATCTTATCTATAACTGGCTCATAAAATGTCTCACTGCTTCTCTCACAAGATTCACACTATTATCAGTTAGAATCTCATGCAGCATTTCATAGTTAATATAGATTTTATTATATAGAAACTTTACTATCATCTTCTCTATTATCTCTGAAACTGCTTTCATAACTGATCAGTCAGTAGTATAATCAATAGCAGTGATTATTCATTAATTTTCATTTAATATTTATGATAATATGTCTATGAGATTCATCTCTCATCATTTGAACAGTTGTATTATACACTTTAATCTAATATTGTACTTTCTCATATTCTAACTCTTTCTTAGATTCTTTCATAATCTGATAGTTCAGACACTTGTGAGTGTATATCTGAATGTTCTCAGTCATACTTGATCAGTATACTCTTGAATTAAGTACACTTATGAGTTCAGAGCTTTCTAAGTGACTGAATTCCTTGTATATGTGAGTCATCAAGTCATATCTAAATGAAGATTCTAGATAGAGAGCTTCTACATATTCTAGATCACAGTAAAGCATAACATTATTTTTCAATTTTCTTAGCTTGAAGTTCAGAAGCATCTCTTCTACTACTCTTATAAGATACTTATCATCTGATATCTTGTCATTCTTTAAGTAAGAGATCATGATGTTCACTCATTCTGATTTCTTATACTCTCTCAGCATGTTTAATATGAACTTCTCTTATATCTAGTTTACAGAACTCTCACTCATGAAATCAGATCTGTAACTGATTATATCAGATATTACAGTGTCTGATCTCTTTCAGTATTTAATATGAAGATTGTACACTTGAAACTCTGAGATTCAATATACTAAGTGTTTAAAAGGTTTTATTATCAATTATAGATAGATGAGACTTTCATGATCTGTGATTACTGTTGTTATATATCTGTTGTCAATATATCTATCTTATAACATCAGTGTGTGCTTGATTATTAGTAATTTCTTTTCATACACTGAGTAATTAAGCTCAGCATCTGATAGTTTTCTATCATTGTATATCACTAAATACAGCTTGCTGTTTTTACTCATCTGTAAAAGAGTGTCTCTGATAGCTTATTTGAATATATCTATCTCAATGTAGAAAGGTTTATCATGATCTGATTGAATAAGTACTGAGAATATTATTACACATTTTCTCAGTGTGAGAAAAGCCTCTTTATACACAGTATTTCAGATAATTGAATAAAACTTCTTCTTTCACAGATTTGTATCTATTTCTCTTAAGAGATCTGAGAGTGATACAGATATTCATATAAAATTCATGATAAATCTGTAGTAATATGAGATTAACTCAAGAAACTGTTATATATAATATACATTTCTCAGCTGTAGTTAATTTACTATAACATTCAATTTCTTCAGAATAAGATGTATACAGTTATCACTCACTACATATTCTATAAACTTCAACTCTTCTGTTTCAAATACACACTTTATTGATTTAATATAGAGCTTATACTCTGTCAGAGTTATAAGCACTTCATTGAGATGCTTCAGATGTTCATTATATGAGTTTGAAAAGACTAGAATATTATCAAGATATATGAGATATGAGATTTCATTCTGTTTATAAAGAATCATATTCATCATTATTTGAAAGATAGTGAGCATATTTGTCAGACTGAATAATATTATCAGAAATTCAAACTTCTCTCATTGTATATTAAACACAGTTCACAGAACTGACAGTTCATTTACACAGATCTGTCAGTATTCTGAGAGAAGATCAATCTTTGATAGATATCAGATATTTTCAACTGTATTTAACTGTTATTGAATCTGTGATAATGAATATTCATTCTTGATTATAAGCTTATTAAGTGCTTGATAATCAATACACATCTGTCACTTCTCATCAGTTTTTTTCATAAATAGAACTGGAAAGACTCACATACTTGATAAGAGTTGTATGAGACTATGTTCTAGAAGATCTGTGATCTGACACTTCTGTTCTTTAAGATGTATTTATAACAGAGAGTACACATTCTGATTGACTGATTTTGCATTCTTTATAACAATCTCATGTGTGAATTCTCATTTCAGCAGCAGTTTCAGTGAAAGATCTGTTTGAAAGATCTTCTCATACTTTTTCAGAAGCTTCTTCATATGCTTGTTCTCTCACATATCTTTTATCTTAGTTTTCTTCACTTTTGAGTTCTGTATAACATACAGAATGCTTTCAGATAAGGTCTTATAAATCATTCTCTTTGCTTATTAGTGTATAAGCAGATTTAATTCTTCTATATCAGAGATGAGAAATGTTCTTCTCATATCAGTTGATAGAATTATATGAACTATTTTCTTTCTATCAGTTAATTACATATGATATGTACATTATTAAATCTGCAGATTGAATCTTTGAAATTAATTAAGTCTGAGAATAAGATTATATTTCACATTCTGCAGCTCTTATACTTAAATATAGCAAGATCATTCTCTGAAGTGCAAGAGAACTCTTACTCTTACAGATAATATCAAATATTAGTTATCAGATAATCTTATATATCAGAGATTCTTCACTCAGTGAACTTCTTTCAGTCTTTAAATTATATAATTATCAATATATTATGTAGAAGCTTCTGTGTCTACTAATACTTTTACAGTCATCTCTCAATTCTTACTCAAGTGCTTCTTATATATTAACATTTCAGATCTTAAGATATTGAGATAAGTATTCACTTCATCATTCTCATCTATATCTTATTCAGAAGTCTGCTTCTTCTTTATATTCACAGAATTCAGAGAGTCATCTAATATAAGCATCTCTTTCACTTTGAAGACTTTTCATAGAATATTAGTGAGTGTCTCTGAGCTCATCAATTCTGCTAGTTTTTTAACTCTCTTACTTCTCTTAACTGTATATACTGTGTGCAATCTTTTACATCATGATTTTGACATCTGCAGTTGAAGCAAGCTCAATACTTATAATATCAAGATTTTCACTCAGAGAATCTCTTTTTCAGAGAATTCAGTGCTTTAATGATAGTATTTAGATCTAGATTTATCATATTCAGATGTATAACTTGTGTTATAGAAGTCTGATTACTCATTCTTCACTGAGATATACTTAATTACAGTATTTTCTGTCATAATTGACTCACTTATTTCTGTATAATAAGAATATTATATACTTTCTTCACTGTGCCTAACTATGAGATTAAGCATTTTCATTTTACTCTTAACTTAGATATAAGATTATGAATGAAGATCTGTAAACAGAAAGATGTTAAAAGCTCTTTATTTAATATAAGATAGTGTAAGCTGAAGTGTGTGAAGTATGATATAAGATTACTCACTTATCTACACTCAGTAAAGTATTTGTAACACTTGTTTTATATATTCACTTTCTCAAAGTTATGCAAGATCTATTTGAAAAACTCATTCTATATTTATAGAAATGAATATCACTCTGAGTCTGTGAGATTCATCTTTTCATCAGTCATCTATAATGACTTCACTTTTTCATATAGAAACACAGCAGATTTTAAAACTTGTTAAAATTCTGTTAACTGTCTGTCTGTGAGTTCATGTTTAATCTGATAATATGATTATATCTGACTTAGTCAGCTGATTGCAGCATCATTTTTTCAGTTGTTATTAAAGCTTGATAACTCTGACAGATCTTTTGACTTGATATATTTTATACTCAGATTCTCATTCTGTATAGTAATCTCTGATGATGTGTATACTTCTGAAGAGATCATGAATGATTGTAATAGAATCTTCAGGTTCAGTGTAGTTATCTATCTGTGTAAACATTCAATCTTCTGCTGCAGGTCTAAGATCTGATTTTCTCTATTCTTATTAATAATAATGATTGCATTGATGAAGCTCTTTATAGTGAATACTTAATCTGCAGTGAATGTCAATTGTTATTTGACTTTCATCTCAGTCTGTCACTGTGTACACAAGGCCTTGATCTTATTTAGAATTCTCATACATATACAGAGCTTCAATTTCAGTTCAGCAGTTTCAGCTACTTTTCTTACTGCTTTAAGTAAACTCTCTGAGAGATTCTGCATATCTTTCAGTTTAGATAGCAGAGAAGAGTATTGTTTGTATTAACTAGAGAAGATATTCATTTCAGTGATTTCTTATTGATTGTATGATATCTATTATTATATCACTGTATTATTATATTGCTATATCATTATATGATTTCTGTTATTATTATACAACTTCAGTGATGATCACTCTTCTCTTTTATTCTTCTTTTGAGTAGAGAGTGAACTTCTTTGAATCTCATTCATCACTCTCATCTTCTTTCTCACATCTCATCTGTTTGTGTATCATATATAGCATTCACCTGAGTGTGAAGTTTTCCCTTTACAAGTGAAGCAGTATCAATTGAATACTCTTTTACTCACTGCTCTTTATACACTATCTTTTGAGATGTTCTAGAATCACACTGACATGATAACTATGAATCACTTTGTAAATGAAATTATCATGCTCTGAAGAAGTCTGTGCTTCTCACTAGTTTTTAGACATGCTATTAGATGTGATTTAAAGGTTGCTTGAGTCAGCATACAATTACAGGCGTACACTGACTTTTTATATATTGTATACTAAATTAATTAGTGACTGCTATGACCTCTTTACACTTGTAAGTAAGTTTGAAAGTGACTGTGTTATTATCTGATGATTATACATTCTTTCAAATCACATTCTCTCTCATCAGATTCAGTCATACTTATATGATTATAACATCTGTTCTAGCTTCATGCAGATTAGCACGCTACTAGTGTTTATAATCTTATAATCTATTTCTGATTCAGCTAGCATTCTGTGTACACTCTTACAAAGAAACTTTCACTATATTATATTACTCATTTACTAACTTTTTTCATTCTTCAATCATCATCTTCATTATCATTATTATTAAACATCACTATCTCATTTAAGATTTCTATTTCTTCTTCTATTCAACTCTTTTTATCTGTTTATCTATTACATTGTACACATTTCTGATGATGATCTCTTATTCTCATAACAAGTATTCTTATAGTGCTTATACTGAGCAGTTTATTAGCAGTAAGTATAACACATTGTGAAATATGATCAGAACTTGTTTATCTTCTAACAATTGTCAGAATGTACTACTATGAATGACATATCTTCTTCATTTTCTTATACATCTCTGACTCTCTTTTCTTCAGCAGTATCTGATCATGTTTTTCTAATCATGTTATATAATTGCAGATACTGATATTTTAATTTGTGTAGAATCTTCACATATTAACAGATTTATATTCACTGATAATTGTGATTTCAATGTTGAATCATTGATCAAGAACTTGAAGAATGTGATAATGAAGAAATTGTCTGTGTTATATATAACTGAGTTTTCTATGTCTCTCTCTGCTTTCTCTATTTCTTTCTCTGTCACTTTCTCTCAATCTTCTATATCTGCCTCTGTGTCTGATTCTCCCGCTCTCACTACCTCTATTTCTGCAACCTCTACTTCTGCTACTTCTGCTCTCACTGCTGTCTTTATTACTAGCTCTCCCTGTTTCAAGAAGATATTGCATAGACTCAGTGAATCATGTTTCTCAGTGTATATACTCTCACCCTTCTTATCAATTTCTAGAATGATTTATTATATGAAGACAGTGTATAATATGACTATCTGAAGCTTGATTACAGATACTGATTATTATATTCATTTTAAATATTTATAATAAGACAATTATTTATTTATATCAGAGAATTATCTTCTTCTTTAACAGTGTTAAGATTATAAGTCTTTTTCTTTTTCCTCTTTTCTTTCTGACACTGATTTTTCTATTCTTAGAAGAAATTGTTATAAGTTTTACTGTGTATGAAGTCATGATATTCACAGATATCAAGAAACTTTTCATAACTGTAAAGTTTAATATTGTGAGAATATTCACTCTGATGAATTTCTTTAAAATGATAGATTGATATTAGTCTATTCTCTGATATCTGTTATCTGACTTCATAATGCAGATGAAAGATATCTGTGTTTTCAGAAACAGAAATGTGAATGTTGTACTCTTTTACATCTGCAGATATGAGACTTGTACACCTTGTCTGAGATATTATTATAGAAATGAGCTGTTCACACACTGTATTCTACTTTCTGTATTTCTCTGTATCTCTATCTCTCTTTCTGAGAAGCCTTGTGTGTGTTATAATTGCATGTACAATTCTAAGATCAGCAGATATTTATTCAGTAATTATTATCTCTGCTTTTACAGTTTTATATACTAACAATAATTCTTAGTTACTTCAGTGTCAGAGATCATTTTAATTGAAGATGATCACACTGCTGAGACTACTCTCTTCTGTTCTCAAGCTTCTTCTGTCACTTTCTCTTCCTTCTCTGCAGAAAAGATTGTATACACACTGAGTTATTGTAAGAAATCCCGCTCCTCGCGGATCCTTTACCCCTATTCCTATCTCTTGCGTAATCAATAGGGCTAGCGGCCCTTGGCTACACACAACTATATAGACTGGAGTTTGCGAATACTATTTATAACTCAGCTTGAATGCTATTATACATTTAATCTCTACATTTATCTTTCTATTATAAACACTTCTAGTAGTTAACAGTACATATCATGCTAAGCTGCAAACACCTGAATAATCACCTGTGAGCACTTATTCTTACATTTCAAGCTCAGTCAGTCAGCAACCGCCTGTTATGACTGGAAGAACTAGAAACTCATGTGCTTCAACCCCTGTGAACTCTACTGCAGGCACCCAGGAGCAGCCACCCGAATCATGAATAACCTCTGTGAAAGAAGTCTCAGAGAACTTATCAATCACTCATGAGACACCATTCTCTGCATCTGTGACAGAGGAACTCTTCAAACTCATGAATGAATCAATCTCAGTGAAGAACATTCTTGAGCATCTTCTGCAGAATCAAGCTATTTTTCTACAAGAAATGCTTACTGTCTGCAAACACCCTTGAACTGAGTTTCTAGACATGATCTTCAGAGACACTCATAAACTGAAAAGAAACTTTCTCAAGTCACAATCACTTAAGGCCATCTATTGAACCACAATCTATAAAAGCTTTTGTGAGTTTGTATTTGAAATTGACTCACAAGCCCGGCTGTGTGACATGAAAGATGAAGAAGCTGTTATCTACACAATGACAGATCTCTATTACACTGAAGCTAAGAACTGGCTGAATCATCTAGAGAATGATCATGAGAGATCTCAATAATCTGTTCTCAAGACCTATCTAGAGAATAAATTGAGAAACTTTATAAGCTGAACAGAGAACATCTGAACTGTGATCACTAATATTAGAAAAAGAGATGAGAAATCTGATAAAGACTATTCATAATACTTCATGAAATTGTGACATAAATTGAGACCTGTGAAAACAGAGTTCTGAAACAAGACCTGAATGATGATGTTCATGAAGAGACTGAATAAAGACATGCAGAACAAGCTCATTGAGCAAGACTCTAAGCTCTTGATTCTGAAGAAACTGATGACTCTCATTTATCACTTGCAGATCACTGTGAGAGTCACAGACTCATAGAGAGTGAATCATTGACTGGTCTTACAAGAATCAGAACAATAGAGGACAGATTTGTCAGAAAAAGATGATAAGACACAGAGAGATTCACATCTGACTGCTGAGTAGAGAGAGAGAGCTTTATAAGCTTCTATAAACAGAGTGTATAACAGAGAGACTAAGAAAAAGAGACTCTGCTTCATCTATTCTAAATTAGAACATCTCTGTACAAACTGTCTGAACAAATTAAAATAGAAATTTAAGAAGTCACAGACAGAGTCAGCAACAGCCTTCTTAAGAGTCTTGAAGCTGACATCTGAATCTGTTGCTCTCTCAATAAAAATACTTGCTTGTGAGAAGAGACTGCACTGCAGTACTGCTGCCCTGCAAGTATGAGAAGTATTGATGAACTCAGAATCCCAGGTCACTGTGATGTCTCTAAAGCTCACAGAGTGAATAAGCTGAAAGATGAAGACTGAGAATCTGCTCTTATAATAAGCAGAGTGTGAGAACTCAGATCTGAGAACTGAGAGACTTGTAAGAATCATCTTTGAATTACAAGATCTCTCTGAAATCTGAAGAAGATTTGTGAAAACTGTGATTATTGCAGACATCACAGATGACATGTATTTGAGACTTATATAACTTTAAAGACACAATCCACACATAGCTGTCTGTGAGTCAGGTTTATACTTTTAACCAGTGTTGACAGACTTACTTACAGAGATAGAAGCAGTTGATACTGTAGAGTTAATTAGAGAAGATAAGCTCATCTATATGATAACTTTGTAAGTATCTGAGAATCTCACAGTCATGAAAACTGAGCTTCAGATATCAGAGAAATACTGAGATCTCACAGAGATATTCAGCTCAGTTAAGGCAGCTGAGCTTTCTTCTCATCATAAGAAGAATCTGATAATAGATTTAATAGAAGAACAGAAACCCTTCTGAGAATCAATCTATAAGCTCTCTCATTATGAGACAGAGGTCTTGCAAATCTATGTGAAGAAGAATCTGAAGAATGACTTCATCTGATCTTCACAGGCCTTCACAGAAGTCTCTGTGATATTTGTGAAGAAGAAGAATGAAGATCTCAGATTATGTGTAGACTACTGTGACCTGAACTCTAAGATAATAAAGAGCTGCTATTCTCTGTCTCTGATTGAGAATGTAATCAACTGTCTTATAAAAGCTGTCATATTCATACAACTGAATATGATCAATGTATATACATAACTGTGAATACAGTCTGAAGATAAATGAAAGACTGTCTTTAGAACTGCACTGAAATTGTTTGAATATCTAGTGATGTCTTTTAATCTGACTAATATTCTTACAGTATTTCAGTCTTTCATCAATAAAACACTTCACATATATCTGAATGTCTTTGTGATAATATATCTGAATGATGTGATAGTGTACTCTGTGAAGAAGAAAGAACACACTGAGCATGTGCAAAGTGTGTTGAAGATCTTAGATAAGACAGAACTGTATATTAAGCTTATAAAGTATAACTTCAGTGTCTGCTGAATTAATTTCCTAGAATATGTAATCACTGCAGATGATATTCAGATGAAATCTTCACAGATTGAGACTATTCTATTATAATCAGAGTTAACTAGTATTCATGAGATTCAGATCTTTCTGAGCTTTGTGAATTTCTATAGATGATTTATCTTTGTGTTTGCAAGAATCTTCTTGATTCTTACAGATATACTGAAGAATGAAAACAAGAAGAAGTTATCTCACAAACAGAGAATGAAAAGATTGTTAAGAAGAAAGAACTGTGAGAACTTTCTTATCTCAGAAGCTTACAGAGTCTTTGCAAGGTTAAAACAGATATTCACAGATGCAGTGATGCTATTCCACTTTAATCTCTTACTTTTAATCAGATTAAAGACAGATATCTTCTTCTTTATGATTTCAGAAATAGTCTTGTAACTACAGTCAAATGAGAACTGGGTTTCAGTGGCCTTTTTCTCACAGAAGATGCAATCTGCAGAGATTAACTATGACATTTATAATCAGAAGCTTCTCATGATAGTGAAATTCTTTCATCACTGATATCACTACTTCAAGAATCTCATGATAGTGATTACTGTTAAAACTAATCATGACAGCTTGTAACAGTTTACTTCAATCAAGAAACTCTCACAGCAGCAGATTCACTGAGCTCAGAGACTGAGTAAGTTCTGATTCAAGATAGAACATATCAAGAGAACTAAGAACTCAGTGAACAGACTCTCTCACAGACCAGACTATATTAAGAAGATCAGGATGACAGATACAGAGAGACTAAAGAAGGTAGAAAAGCTTCACAGAATACTCAGACTAAGTATTACAAAGAGATTGACTGAAGAGTCTCTCAATTCTCTATAAGAGAAGAAAAGAAAGAGAGAAAAGAAGTCTGTACAACTACTCTCTATAACACTGAGAGTCAACACTCTGAGAATCTCTGCAAGAATTCTTGAAGAGAGTATCTATAATCTGAAGAGTTTGCAGACTTTGAGAAGCACTGTGAAAGACCTGATGCAAGAAGAAACAGAGTATAAGTCTTTATAAGATCTTCTATTCAGATTGTCTGAACTGTAACTGAAAAATGAATATACTCAGTATATTCAGAAACTGCTTACAGCAGGGATTAATCCTGCAGAAATAAAGAGTTGAAGAGACTTAAATAATCTCTTGTGAAGAGAGAACTGAATTTATGTACCTGTGAATGAGTTTCTATGTGTAGAACTTATTAAAAGATATCATGACTCTTCTCTAGTAAGTCATTTTATAGATACTAGAACTCATGAGTTACTCATAAGAAAATACTTCTGACTGAAGATACAAGAACTTGTGAAGAAGATAGTGAATTCTTATACTGTTTATCAGAATTCATAGATAGTGCAGTTCAGGTCATATAAAGAACTTACTTCTCTACTCATTCTGTGAGAACCTTGAAAACAGCTAGAAATGAATGCCCTTGTAAGTCTCTCTGAAAGCAAGAACATATATGATACCTGCTTTGACAGTGTGCTGATGATAGTGAATCACTTCATCAAGATGACACACTTTATACCCACTCACAAGAACTTGAAATCAAAGGATTTGACTCACATCTTCATCTGCAATGTGATTCAGTTGCATGAATTATCTGTGAACATTATCTCAGATAGAGAATCAATCTTTACAGAAGAGTTCTGATCTGATCTGATAACTATACTGAAGATCTTATAAGATCTAAGTATGACTTTTCA